GTTTTAGGGCGAGTAGCAGGCAAATCTGTTTGGGGCGAGTAAAAGACAAGTCTGTGTGGGGCGAGTAACAGGCAAGGCTGTTTGGGGCAAGTAAAAGACAAGTCTGTTTGGGGCGAGTAACAGGCAAGGCTGTTTGGGGCAAGTTAAAGGCAAGGCGGTTTGGGGCAAGTAACAGGCAAGGCTGTTTGGGGCAAGAAACAGGCAAGGCGTTTTGGGGCAAGTAATAGGCAAGGCGGTTTTGGGCGGTACAGGGTATATTCCCACATAAGAGTGTTATTATTCATAAAGGACCGTCACAGGCCAATTCATGCTTGGCGCAAAAGCAAACGTGAACACAGAACACAAATTTGTGATGCAACAGCAAATTTGTAAAAGTTGAACACATTCCAACTCGGGTGAATTTTGTAGCGAATATTTATTTGCTTTGCATTAAAGTGAAGTACAAGCCAGCCTTTACATTGTGTATGTAGCATAATGTACATGTATGAACCAAAATTGCCGTTGTGCACACGTAATATTCTGCGATATATGAACTAAATTTGGGTATTACGACAAACCTAAAAAAAACCAGCAAGTTAATTTTAAATATGAGGTTCTCTCTCCCTCTCTCTCTCTCAAAAAAGAAAACATAAGAGGATCAACTCCCAGATTATCTCAAGAAACTAATTACTAATTAGTTAGTATCTTCCATCAGGAAATGTTATCTCCGGCTCTTGAGAAAAAATAACCTCGTTTAAAGTCATTACCAAATCATATGGTCTTTGAACATGTCCAATTTTCAGCCCTGGAGCTTTGGAATAATTATACTATACCTAAAAATATAATCAAGCAGACCAATCTATGGAACACTTCAAATCATACTTTAAGACTCACACCACATGTTTGCTGCCATATAGAGATTCTCAGTACATCACAAGTGTTTAGGTTATTTGATTTCTAACTTTATAGTGCTGTAGGTGTAAATGTATATATACATGCATTACATGATACTATAGGATATATTTATTTTACTTGAAATTAATTTGTTATTTACATAATGCAATAAAATTAATAAATTTACTTGAGGTCTTAAATATTTTTTGTATTTTTTGGGTATATAAAGCAGAGGATATTTGAAGTCACTCAAGATAATAATCACATTGCTGATTTGAATTGGAAGCATCTGGAGAAAAAAAAATTACCATGTTGTAGATTTCTGCAGAAACTGCTGAAGAATTGCTGGAGGCATTTCAATGTATCTAATGCCGGTCTTGGGAGCGTTGAGGGTAGAATGGCGGCACGCGGCACAGGGGGTGCCAGTAATGAAATTAAATTCATGCTTATGTGAATATGTGTCTGTTATTAAAAGTGTGCGGCGTGAAGTATTTGCAGGACTGCCAGGGAAAGTGGGGAGTAGTGACTTGCAGGGGAATGTATGGTGATTTAAACGTCTGTCAACAAAATCAGGCACTGTAATCTTGATTTGGGCCCGGTTGTGTGGTTGAGTGGAGAGCTTGGGAGTTAATACTAGCGCAGGAATACTGTGAGAATGTATATCAGAATAGTATAGCACACTGTGAGAATAACATATGAGAATAGTATAGCATGCTGTGAAAATAGTAATAGTATAGCATGCTGTGAGAACAGTATAGCATGCTGTGAGAATAGTATATGAGAATAGTATAGCATGCTGTGAGAATAGTGAGAATAGTATAGCATGCTGTGAGAAAAGTGAGAATAGTACAGCATGCTGTGATAATAGTATAGCATGCTGTGAGAAATAGTATATAACTAATGAAGTAATAGTGCCTGATGCAGAGAAACTTGACAAATACTGCACAGCACATGATATATCCTGCAAGTGAAGGCCGCTCATGAAACAAAAACACTGCATTTGTGTAGGAGTTCTGCATTATGCAGAAATATTTCACAGCGAAGGAATACTGTGCATTGAAGAAATACTACATTGTGTAGATTTAGTTGGCCCGTCTGTCCCTGTCAAGCATAGTGTTGGAAAGAGATGGTCCTCTCAGAATTACAGTGGAGCCCCTTGATCTTATCAGTGTCCTGTCCATTTCATCCCCCCCCCCTTCCTTCTGCAGATGAGTAACCATGAATAAGAAGGATTACAACTAATGCATCAACACTGCTGGTTAATAATATTCCCTGTATCCGAGGAAAAAAATATGGTGAACTTGATATTGCCATGCAATTACACAAGGCTTAGGTTGGGTATCTGGCATCAACCAGCCAGCATGCCAGCTGTAGTAAGCGAGTAATGTTAGATGGACATAGCCCTGGGTCATTCAGCCCCCAACACAGGCATGGTTTGCCTCCAGCCGCAGAATTATAAATCAGTTCATCATTTCATGACTGAGAAAGTATCATCTTGGGGTTTGTGCACTTTATTTTTAACCTCATGAAATACCCAAAATAATGATCACAGAGGCTACTGTGCTAATGAATTATTCATGAGCATTGCTCATTTTTAGTACTTAAATTTCCTTCAACTACAAAAACTGTTTCAATGAAAAGCGAGTATTGAAGATGGATCTTATATTTATTGCTGTTGAGGGGATATTGGCCCACCATCAACACGGCAAAGAATATCCCATTCATTTTCACTGTTTACTGGAAATCGTTGCCAAAGTGTCAGTGGGGCCATTTCACTTGATTGATCTGCGATGATTGATTGAGCAGTAGAAAGTAATATGAGACTGCATCTAAATCACATTTAACTGTGCCATGCTGAGCGTAGATATGTCAGAGTTGTTTTCTTTAGCTTCTGTCACAAACAAAATTGAATGCTTATTTTTTTTTAAGGTTAGTTTCGAATATCCGGTTTCCAACATCTTGAATCGGATGGTGGAATTCAATCCAAATTTGAATATATTCGAATGTTAAACCCCACCACTAAAACAAACATCAACGCATGTAGTTCACATTAGTCACTACGGTTGAGCGGTTCACAGACAGTCAATACATTACTGTGCCATATCAATCAGTCTGCACATCTATATTCATTTGGGTCGTCAGTCTTCTATCTGGGGAGGGCAGGTGGGAATGGTAGCTTCATACCCTGAATCATATTAGGAATCATTTGGAATGACGTCAGATGCCCCGACCTGTCGCAGAATGCATCATGTGTGCAGCTGGTTCCTCAATCATGTTGGGTAATTGGAAGGTGGAGGGCTTTGTTGGAGCTGAAGGGGGATCGGCAACTATATACTGAACCATAGAGATGGTTGTCCTGGTTTTAAAGTAGATGCAAATGCAATAATAAATGTGGCTGTGTCTCTATTATAATAGTAATGGTGTTGTAGACGTCTCTAAATTGAACATAGGTACTAGGATATAAATATACTTTCAATTATTCTTTTGTGAAACCTCAGTTGGACAAGGTGTGATAATGTTGGGTATTGTAAATTGAAGATAGGTACTAGGAAATATACTTTCAATTACTCATTTGTGAAAACTCAGTTGGACAAGTTGTGATGTAATAATATTGGGTATTGTAATTACCAAGAATGGTACCAAATAGATTGAAGTCAATTTTAATTACACTTGCGTGGCAAATTACAGAGATCAGGTGCAACAGGGACACCAAAATGTCAAAGTTTTGGACCCCAGATTTATGGAAATGACCTCTAATGAGCTTGGACATTTAAACAGTATTTGTACTGAATGTTTGCATCACTGTTTCATTAATGCTTCAGACTGTATCCTTTTTGCTCTGTTGATCTGTCTCCGGCAACCATCACATGACTACTGGCACCAGAAGCATGAAGCTAAAATAATTACATCATTGGAGCACTATGTATTAGAAAAAGAGTTTGCTCAGTTAGTGGAGTCAACTTGAAATTACGTCAAGACTGATACTTAAACCCCGTCATGTTCAATGTGTTATTTAATTGAGCGTTGTCTGCGAAGGACTAATGGCGTTGCCTGATAGTACACCCACCCACGCTTCAGTCTGATTCCTTTAACGCATGTCTCATTGTGAACCGTTGTGTCGGATTTCAAGTAAAGGAAAAAGAGTGATGTACTATGGTGTATCAAGTTACAAATGGTTCCCAACATGTAGGTTTAATTGTTTCATAGTGCTAACAGGTTTGTGTTGATACCGCAAAGGGATGCAAGAATATTCAGACATCCATTTGAGTGACTGTAAACCTATATTATTTCGCAGTTTTGTGAAAGTGTCTCTGAGAGACCTTTTTATCACATCAAATGGAATTAGCGACGGATAGAATTTACGAAAAATACTTCGGAAATCTATGACTCAAAGTAATTGCCTGTAATAACAAGTATATGAGAAATGCATTAAAAAATAAAAATACAGTGATGAATTATGTTCCATATGTGAATGAAAAAATGAGTTGCTGTAAGGCCTTTTAGATGAATTATTATTTTTATGATTTTCTTTTCCGAATTGTAACATGATCATTTCATAAATGTGTTTTGAAACAATCAATTTTCGTTTTTACTAATTTTCTTGAAAGAATTCAGATACTGGATGTACTAAACCAATATTGTAAAATGTTGAATTGTCCCGCCTGAAGTTTGGGCCTATCACATTCCTCCTATTATGTGTATTGCAAAACTTTGCAATGTCTTTAAGGAAGTGGTATTTTTCTTTTTAAAATTTCACACGCATGTAATTGCAACCACCAAAGAAATTTGTTTAAAATAAATAAAAAAGCAATTTGCATCACTACAATTTTTAAGCTTACCTACGGTACCTTTTATTATCAGAAACATTCTTTTTTTGGGGGGGGGGGGAGGGGAGGGGAGGAGGGAACAGAAAAAAACAAAACAATAAAGACCTGCTATTTTATGTTTTCACATTCATGTGTGTTTTACTCGTTCCGAATTTTTTCACCGACAAAAACTATTTTGATTTTATAACTCATTTCCTAAACAATTAAAAGTGTGATGCTTGAACACCGGGCCACTTTGTTTTTGGCAGAAGATCTATTTTGATGATTTCATGTCTTTTTTCCATTGTCTGTGTTGATTAGGTGCTTTCCCTGGGGCCCGATGTGCTTCCAGAGTATAAACTACAGTCACCGCGCATCCACAAATGGACTATTCTTCACTACTCCCCATTCAAGGCAGTATGGGATTGGATTATTCTTCTGTTAGTCATCTATACCGCTATTGTCACTCCATACAACGCAGCCTTCCTCCTCAAGCATCCAGGTATGTGCTCACACTGTATAGTCATTTATCATGCTGCCACCATTGCAGTCATGTTCCCTGTATCCAATAACAGTACTGAATGATAGTGTTTTTTGTGTGCTAAAAGGGACCAGACTATATTTTTCCTTCCAGCCTCGCTTTGGTTACATTAATTTAAATGGGTAAAAAATCATGTTGGCTGCAACATGATAATGGTCTATTGGGCTTCAGTCATTTAAATGTCACATTTATTATTCAGTTTAGTTTTTTTTTTTAAATTGCATCATTAACCCTCCTGCTGTCTGAACAGTGCCAGACAGTCAAGACATAAATCCTCTTTCCCTGCCATGCCTTTAAACACAGGCTAGTCACCAACAGTCAGATCATATTTCAAGCAAGGCTGTGACAAGTCAAATTTAGTCGACAGACGAAAGCAGACAAGTGGTAGGCACAGCCGTCTTATCAATCACCTACAGTCAAAGCATGTATCAAGTTATACAAAACAGTCACAGCCAGTCAATCCTGCTTTATGTAGGCTTGGAGCTCTTAACTGTTAAAGGCAGTCACTTGATTGATTTTAACTGAAAGGACAACTTTGTATAGAGCGATGTTTGCATAGGGGGGTTTGAGGCATATAGGATCATTTGTAAATTCTAAAAAAACAAAACTGCCAAAATATAAAAATAGCCCACTTGATTGTAACAATACCTGGTAGTGTGAAACATACTAGCCTGGTTTTGCTGTCATTCTCAAGAAAAGAGAAATTTTGTATCAGTACTAACGATGGTTAGGACATAACAATCGCTGAAAACAAATACCACATCTGTTAGATGGCAGGGAGCCAGATGTTTATTACATGTATGTACGGTATGCTTCAGTAAGCTAGCTAGGAACACTTTTGTATTACTTTCCCATGCTACAGCTAGCATTGGCACTCCCTGTGACCTATGGGTTCTATGCACGATGGATTCCTCGAGATGCACTTTCATGCTTGAAAATGAACGGACACAAAACATTGAACAGCTCACTGGAACGAATCGTCTGCTATAAATTAATAGCCTTTAAATCGGTCCATTTCATGCAATTGCAGCAACTGCAAAATAATGCCTTTGAAATCTACTCAAAACCATAAGATTACATTTGAATTAATTTTTACTAAGTTAAAAGGTCCATCCATATCATAACGTAAACATTATAATGTTTTTAATTAAGTTGAGATCAAAGTAATACATTGTTCAAATATGTGCACAGTACATGGACTTTCATAGCTTTAGGTAACTTATTATTGTACTTTGACATGAAAGCAAGTGTGCACGAGATGTTGAAAGGTCCATCCATGTCATAGAGTAATTCTCTATAAAGCTGTTGAGATCAAATTAATTACATTGGTTAAATACACATACTTTCAAAGCTTTTGTCTAACTTACTATAATCTGACATTAAAGCAAAGATGCACCAATTTGTTGCATCTTTCTACAGTGTTTAACTTGCTTGGGATGAAGTCTTCAAAATGTTACCATAGAAACGGACACCTAGCAATCACTTGGCTTATACACTTTGCAATTCGCAGACTTACCCACTGCGAGAATTTTGTGAAATGTTGCGCACTGTGAAATATTGCGCAACTTTCTTGTTTCATAAGTCGAGTTCACTGAATCGGCTGAAGACCTTTTTTTATACATACACAAAAGTCCAATGAATGTTGCACACAGGCCGGTGGGAGCAACATCGTTGATGCAGAACTGTCATCCCTTCAAGAAAGCAATTTTGATTTCTGTTTGCCGGAGGGCATTATGTGAAAAGAATTGGTCACATCCTGTTATTGTGCAGCGCGGGTGTTTTGTTGCAAAATCTGTTGTATAAACGTGTCTATTTAAGCGCGGGAAGGCGAAATGCTACATAATGCTAGTATGTAACATGACGACGTTACAATAACAGGAGGTATAGTCAAGCTTTGGTCATAAGAAGGAACGATTGAAATGGCTGCCCTCTGAACAACCTTGCCTGCTCATTGTCAAACTGGCTATTTGCATGGCTGCAAAATCCATCTTATTTCTACCGTATGTACAAAGATGTTTAACACATGAACCGCAAGATAACATTCAGCGTGTTTAACTCAATGCTGTGGGCTTTGACTCATGAAAATGTAGAGCTTTCTCACTGTATTGTGTAACATTATATGATATTAATACAGAGCCATTTTCCAATTTTATATCTAGGGTATTGGTTTTTGTACCCTTCGTCCCTAAATAAATTGGTTATTGTATTCTGGAAAATCCATTTGGATAAACCTGCATTAATCACTGATTAAGTAAAGCTGTCAGGTTATGCAAGTTCATAAGGAGTAGTGAATCATTGATCACAAAACTTATTTTAAGATCATGTCTTGAATTAAAGTTGCATTCAACGTGCTATATTCAAATTTCATTCTGAAAAATAGATTTCTATCTAAACTGCAATTTTTCCAGCAAAGCAAAAAATATTTGCTTTTGAGTGAGACATCAACCAAAAAAAATTTGGCCCATGATTAGTTTAATGAATTAGTAATTTACAATTTTGAATTATTGGTTGCCAGGCAACAATTCCATTCTCACGGGTGCCCAACCTGCAATCAGTATCTATAATGTACGGACAGGGAACCAATCTGCTTCAAAGCGGATCTAGCTGTTTGTGCCAAAAACAAAATACTTATTTTTTTTCAGAGGGTTGCAGATGTTAAAAAAAGTGGGGGAGGGAATGGAGGGTTTTTGGTTGGAATAAAACATACAAGTTGAAAATTTAGTAAGAAACAAAAAAATTTGAATTTGTTGATTAGCATGGGGAGTGTAACTTGAATATTGGGGGAACTGGAATCAACTACCTCATACAGTCGGCTCCTAGTAATAGTATGGGTGTCATTCCCAATCTTGGTTTGAATTCTGTTAACGCCACAAGCATTTTGGAATAAATTTTGGTCTGTGTAGCCTTGAAATCATATTACTTAAAGTGCACCCTCTTTTCTCTCCTCCAAAATTTGTAAAGTCGAGAAAGCCGAACTGGACAAAGACCCGGAATCCCGGAGCGGAACTGACCGCTACAATGACCCGCTGACTGTGATTGACCTGATGGTGGACGTCATGTTTATCATCGATATTCTCATCAATTTCCGCACCACCTACGTGAACAAGAATGACGAGGTGGTGTCCAATCCAGGCAAGATTGCCGTGCATTACTTCAAGGGCTGGTTTCTTATTGACGTGGTTGCTGCTATTCCATTTGATCTGCTCCTCTTTGGCGGTAATGACCAGGTATGTTACTCAAATTGTGGTTAATTTATTTAAATCTCAACATAAATCACTTTGAACCAGAAATGTATGAAATGCTTTGTTCTGGACAAAATGCCTGAAACATGGAAATTATCTGAGACTTTTGATTACCATTTCAGACATTTTTCATCCCCTCTTATGTTTCAGACATTTTTATGGTTTTAAACATGAACCTGTTAGAATCAATAATGTTTGTAAAGTTTCAGACACTTCCATGTGACTACCGGCCAGTGTTATTTGACGGGCTTACGGTTCAGACATACTAAATCATTAAATCAGTCCGTCTTGAATATATTGATTTTTATAATTTGCTACTTTTCCCCATTTCTGCTGTACAGCAATCAACGACACTCATCGGTCTTCTGAAAACGGCCCGACTTCTACGACTCGTCAGAGTTGCACGTAAACTGGATCGCTACTCCGAGTACGGAGCCGCAGTGCTGCTACTGCTCATGTGCACGTTTGCGCTGATAGCCCATTGGTTGGCTTGCATCTGGTTTGCCATTGGGCAAGCTGAAAAAGCCCTGGACAAAAATCACAACAACATTGGCTGGCTGGACGACCTAGCCAAAAAGACTAACTTGCCTTATAACGAAACGACGATAGAATCCAAGTACATTACAGCGTTGTATTTTACGTTCAGCAGTCTAACCAGCGTTGGCTTTGGGAACGTCTCCCCGAACACAAACTCAGAGAAAATATTTTCCATTTGTGTCATGTTGATCGGATGTAAGTATCAGTTCAACTTTGTAAAAACACTTTAGAAGGAGCTAACTTAAATTGAAAAAAAGTAATTAAACGTTGAACAAATGGGCAAACCGCCAAGATAGGGGTTGGATAGCTCAGTTTGGTGGAGCACCAGAACAACAATACAGAAGTCGTAGATTCACACCCCCCTCCAGTCAGTTTCTTTGTTCTACTTTACAATTATTAAATTAAAGTAGCTGAAAATAATAGCTGTTTGGTACAGATGTGGGTTTGTGTCACATACTTTGGGAATGATACATGTCACAGTTTTGTACAGTGCCAATCAAGGCACACAACCCAAATCACACACCAGCCAAATACTGGACATTTCAATTCACTTTGTTTCATTCCATTAAGTTATGTATTTGTTTTGAAGTATGTCTTGTTTTCACCCCCCCCCCCCAGCTCTGATGTATGCCAGCATCTTCGGTAACGTCTCAGCCATCATCCAGAGGTTATATTCAGGCACTGCTCGCTACCACACCCAGATGCTACGAGTCAAGGAGTTCATTCGCTTCCATCAGATCCCAAACCCTCTCCGGCAACGCTTGGAGGAATACTTCCAACATGCCTGGTCCTACACCAACGGCATTGATATGAACATGGTGAGATGCAAGCCCTTCTCATTCCATTCAGTTCATTATATGTTTCCAGTATGAATGATTGAGCAATTGTCCTGGAGGCATGGCAACAAGAAGTACCCACTCATCAGTAAAAATGCACAGCGTAACTGTTTGTGAAAGATACTTGAACTCCTTGGTCCTGGCACCGTGCTATATGCATCATGATGTGTGCGGCTATTGTAGCCAGTGATGCACCTGACTTCAGTATGCTTCTCCTAGTTAGTCAACCAGACTATGGCTGAATAGCATGGGTTCAAGCTTAATTGAACTACCATACACTAGGGACCAGAAAAGTCTGAATGCTTTTGTTCCAGACAAACTGTTTGAAACATGTACAATGGCGTTTGTATTTCAGACATTTGGGCTAAGACATTTTATGTCTGAAACAAAATCCCCTCTTACGTTTTCAGACATTTTGAATGTCTTAAAATGTATGATCTCCCATGTTCACGTTTCAGACACTTTGTCCAGAGCAAAATGTTTCAGACTTTTCTGGTTTATAGTGATACACGTAGTTCTCACTCAAACCTTCCTTGTGGTTGTGGGTATGTATAATGGAAAAAAAAATCCTTAGTAATTGTAAATTGGCTTTGCAGAGGACTATAATGTCGTCTGGACAAATCTGATCATTTTTCTTGCTGTAGCACAAGCACACACATTTTTCTTGTTTCCATTGACCAACATTGTTTGCATCTTTCATTTCTCCTCTGCTAGGTTCTCAAAAGCTTCCCAGAATGCTTGCAAGCGGATATCTGCCTTCACTTGAATCGCAATCTTCTCAATAACTGTGCAGCATTCAAAGGGGCTAGTCCGGGGTGTCTGCGAGCGTTCTCCATGAAGTTTAAGACAACCCACGCCCCACCAGGCGACACCTTAATTCACAGGGGCGATGTGTTGTCTGCGCTGTATTTCATCTGCCGGGGATCTATAGAGATTCTGAAAGATGACATGGTCTTGGCAATATTAGGTTGGTGTAAGAAATCTGTACAAAGGTTCCCGTGGTGAGAAGGAGGTGTGGCCTAGTGGTTAGGGTTCGTGACTCAAGATGAGAGGGTCAGAGGTTCGAATCCAGCTGCTGGTCATATGTTGTGTCCTTGGGCAATCCACTTCACCCCAAATTGCCTCTCTCCACCCAGGAGTATAAATGGGTACCGGCATTAGCTGGGGAGTAACCTGCGATGGACTAGCATCCCATCCAGGAGGAATAGAAATATTCTCAGTCATTTCATGCTACTGAAACCAGAGATAAACGTTGACCTAATGGGCCACATTGGCTCATGACAGACTTTACTTTTTTTGCACTAGTAATGGCCTGTGCCTAGTTCTGTCTCATTTTACCAGAATTTCTCACGTGCATATTTCTTTCTTTTTTTCAGGGAAAGACGACGTCTTTGGTGAAAATTTCTGTCAGTACGATACTGTAGGCAAGTCCAAGTGCAATGTGCGGGCCTTGACATACTGCGACTTGCACAAAATCCTGCGGGAAGATCTGCTAGAAATTCTAGACATGTATCCTGAGTTCTATCATCAGTTTGCTAAGAACCTAGAAATCACCTTTGTTCTTCGGGATGTAAGTATATTTTCCAGCGTAGTTTGAATACGCTTTTAATTATTATATTCACCCTGTCAGTTTCCCTGTGTTGATTATTTGAAGATTTCTTCTTTTTGGTTTAACAATTATTTAACAGGAAGATATTGCTGCAAAAGGTTTGGACAATGAGAATGAGAATTCTTCAGACGCGGAAGTGAAAAACCAGACGGGGAGTAAAAACGTGCAAGATAAAAACAGACAGAGGAAAGGCCGCTACCAGAAGAAGGGTAATTACAAAGTTATCCTGAGCATCTACAATGAGGAATATGTACTAAGCTTGTGCGGTATTGAATTTTGAGAGTCCATGGTATACGACCACAAAAAGTATGACGGTGTTCAGTAGTATAGGGTTTTGTTCTGAGTAGACAATTGTTATGGTATCATAATGCAAAAAGACACATGGTGGTAGGGAAACTGCAAACAGGCGGCGCGGGCAACTGACAGCTATCATGCTTCATCTTCAGTAACTCTTAAGTCTGATTACATTAACCTTAATCTTTTTCAGGATCTGGAAAGGATGCAACTTCTGTCATCGGGGCGCAGAACCGTCGCAAGAAGTTTTCCCAGAATCGCGGTGGCAGCTCAGCCACCTTAGATTCCAGTGACGAGGAGTGCGGCACAGGGATCCTTGAGTTCTCACCGGACATGGCGGGGCGCGACGTCACCCCGGCACCAGAGATTGTACTGCAGCTGGAAGACCACAAACGTAGCGGGGGGCATGGCGGTGTGGGACCATTCAGCGCCATTGCAGGTAGTTCCACCGAGAGTGAAATATATAGCAGCCATGGTAAGACTTCTCTGGTGTGGTTTCTTGTCTCCATGCAGTGGGGGTTGCACAGTTGATTGGAGGATGCAGTTAAAGTGAGACGGGCCACATCCGAATTACTTGGCTACGGCTAGCGGCAACACACATGTCTATGGGATGTGGCTGCAGCCGCTTCCCATAGGCTCATGTGTAATTGCAAGCCATAGGCATGTAGTTCACACACGCCCATAGTCTGTCTGGCCAGCTCTAGTAGACAGAAACATTTCCTAAACTTTTTTTTCCACCGAAATTTGTTAATCTGTCTTTTCATTCTGAGTTTTCAAACTGCAGTTTGCATTGAGAACTACCTTTTTCTTTTTTCAACAAATTCATAATTCAGACATTTTTATACACAGATTTATTACACTTCTGAATGTTTTGTTTTGGGGGGGATATCTCGAAATCTCAACTGGCCAGCCAATTATGTCTCACTTATAACACAGTTCCTCCAATGAATGATAATGCACATCATAAACTCTGAAATATTGTAAACTGACAAAAAAAGAAAGAAACTAAATTGGCACATCTGAAGAAAACATTCATGTACATCATTTCACCCTTCGCATAATGTGATGGAAACTTGATGAAAATGTACATTGACAGTATTGTCACAATACTGTAAACCTGAGGCTTACATCACTTTGGATATCCTTCTTCCGTGACTTTCTAAATCTAGAATCATTAATATTTTTTTCATGTGAACTAAAGCTTGTTAAGCTGATGAAGAATTCCCATCATATGCCAAAAATCGTTTGGTGAATAAAAATTGACATTATCTTTTGATAATTGACGTGTCTTTTTTGTTTGCAATATCCTATAACTTGAAATAATGTGTTGCACACTGATAGGCGGAAGCTGATTCAAGAAAAGTTCGTTTTAAACCATCGTATTTTTAAAGACTGGTTTCCATCACATTTGGCTGGTTCACTGCATCATCTTGTGCATCGTGTTATCTGCTATATCATGCCATGCATCAATGTGAACAAGTGATCTGTCGCCAGCAATTGGACATAAAATCATTCAAAAATATGGAGTTTGCACAAGTCCCCTCTCAAGAGTAAGAAAAATTGAGAAAGTGGTCCAATACCGAATACACTTGAATGCTATTATATTGCTCCTGCATATACGACTGCTCTGGTACTTTCATCCCGTGCACAGATGCTTTTGGTCTTCGGTTGTCCATTTCAAACTTGAGCAAAATTGTGTCCATGTCCAAAATTAACTAGTCCATGATTTTTTTTGTCCAAGAGAGGCTTTATTTTAAAGGTTAATAACAGCCAGTTCTGGTTGATACTAGGCCCAATTGATGGCGACAGATCTCACGCATTCAAAAAATTACCAAATCATGATGCAGCTCATCCAAAAGGAATGTCCTTGTAGCTGTGTGTATATTTGGAGCATCATGTCTTCATCCTTTGATACTGGAAACTTCAAAATTTTGGTCTAGATTTAAACAGACATGTATGGAGTTTATTCTGTTGTATTGAAGAAATCAGTACAAGAGAGAACTACATGTAAATTTGTTGAATAGGCTTGAAAAGATAATTAGTTGATTCCAGTGGTATAGACTAATCTGGTGACAGCCATTTTCTGAGGTGGCACCAGGCTTGCGCGAGTTGCACTCAGGTAGCACTCCGGGCTCCTGCGACCAACAGTGTTACCAAAATGCACGCGCGCCTCGTCATTAAGAATGGATGCAGCATGTGCGCGAGCATGGCACCACCAACCTCAAAAATGGCTTCTAATGTTGTTCACCGGATTACACTATACTTATTACATGGAACAAAACCAAAACCTGATGCGAACTGATGCACTAGATATACTACAGTTGTATGTAAATGTAGAATTTCATGTGGTGGGTATTGCTGTGCTTCATAATGCATCTCGTCATAAAATCACTGTGTCGGTATATTGTACTAATGAAAACACACACAAGAGTATGTTTCAGCATCCTGAGCACCATACTAACCTCAATAAAGTATTATTAGGAGAGATACTGCAGTTTGAAATGTGCACCACATCTCAGTACACACAGCTAGCTGCAGCTGGGTCCCACGTCCATTAGTACACAATTATCACGTAATGGTTATCCCATGTGCCGTATTGTAATTTGGGAAATCTTAGCTACTATATTATGTTCAGAACTCAAGACTAAAAGTTGTAGGAATGTTGGTACAATTTAGTATTTTAGTAATGTGGATCTGTAAGCTTGAGTTTTATTTGCATCTTTAGTGACGTGTTTCCTTTGTACAAGTAACACAAATACTTATAAAATAATGCAGGGTATGCAATCTTTAGGAAATAAAGCTTCTCACTTTATTAATCCCCGTAATTTGTAGCTTTGGGGTTTAAGCTTTGGATATTATGGATTGTTCTGGGCAGGGCAGGGAGGGGGGGGGGGCATGGTTGTTTTCTAGATTGCAGAGTCATTTTTCTAGTTTTACCCTCTAACCAATGATTTTCATAAGGCATCCAAGAACGATTGCTTGCTTGCTTGTCATGCTTGGAATTCAGCACCAAGGAGTTCTGTTTGCATGATTTGCATGCATGTTTCCTTTCATTAGATTAATTTGAATAGGCCTATCGTTTCATTTGATTAATTTGAATATTGCCATATAAGTCGTGAATCAAGCATTACATTACAAAGCATTTGAGCAAGGCTCTAGCAATCCTGAGCTGTGTTGTAGTACTCGTACTCCGTACTCATACTCGAACATAAAAATACTCGGACTGGATTTCACGGTACTCGTACTCAAGAAGCAAAGGACTTGGACTAGACTATTCGATATCGTACTCCCATCATCAAAGTACTTGAACTTGATTATAAGGACTAAGGGAAAAATCTGTTTCTTGGCAAATATTAGTTAATATTTCTTTCAAGAAGTCTCGCTCAAAAGTAGTCCATAACATCCATGTTGCTGAATTGGTGGTTTCAGATTCCACTCGGTACCGGTACTTGAGATTTTAATTGTTTTCACTTGAGTACTCTATTAAGAACTCGTACTCAGGGGTCCATTTGTACTCGCACTCAGCTTCACAAAACCTGTACTCAAAGTTCAAGTACTTCGACTTGGGAAGTGCGCCTCGTCTTTAAGAAAGCATGTGGCATACGTGTGCAAGTGGTTCCACCTCAAAAAGGCTTCTAATTTTGATCGCCGAATTAGTCTTTGGGTGTTGCATTCACTAAAATTGTTCACATTTCCAAGAATTGGAAGTTATAACCAGCCATATTTAAGATAAAAGCTATTTCTGATAGTCATTGATTAAGTCTGGATGGCAATCTGTCTATAGTTGTTCCTGGATGGAAAAGGGTTATCATTTTTGCCAATAGCTTGATGATTGGAGGATCATAAACTGTTGAGCCGTTGCATGTTATGCAGATGCATTAGTGTGAATCATCTAGATAAGTTGATGATTATACATAAGTTTTGTTGACGGTCCATTTCATTCATATTTTTTTTAAAATTTCTGTTAACTGCATGCCATACATATGCTTGCATTTTTTTTTATGCATGGAACCTTACTGCTTGTCAAATGTCCTGCATGCTTTGAATTTACATCAGACATCAACTTCATTTCTGCCAATTTGTTGATTACTTTGATGTTCATTTTGTTACCAAAAAACTAGAAAATGTTTTGAATTTGTAACCGATTTTTGGTTGAATTTTTTAAAAACGGATGATGTTGGTCCCTCCTTGCTGCATGGAGCAATGTCTACCAGCTAGTCAACAAACCAGACAAGTCGCCATGGATGAGTGTCTCTTCTTATTTCAGAAGGAATTTTTGTCTAATCATTTTTGATAAATTTGATTTTTGTTTTACTTGCCAATTTAGAAACCCTACCAGAATTCATTAATCTAAGGGGTTTGTTAGCAGTGTATGGTGAAGTTGTTTGTATAGTATTATTACGTTAAACAAGTTGCAAGGTTGCATCTGGAAATTTTCGAAAGAGCGTAGAATCGATCAAAACTACTGGAAATGGGTTAAATATTGTCAACTGTTGGGATTTGTTTACAAACTTGTCGTAACTCGATCTTGTGGTACTGGACACAGATGTGGTAAACACTGTCTTGAATTTCATCTAGAGATTTACAATTTGATAGGGGGCTTCATCATCATGAAGCTCAGAAACGGCTTTGTACCAAGATCAAGCAAGCTGAAGGAAGCATGTATCAAATGTAACGTAATATCAAACATTCAGATTGTATCATCTCTCAGAATTGAACAGAGGAGCATTCTTCATTAGATCGAGACACTGTTGTTAGAACCATCAAAATATAGGATTTTGTAGGATAGTAATATTGCCTTCTTCATTGGCTGTCCTAATAAGCTTGGAGCTAAGGATAGATGTTTTTAAAGCCAGCTGAAAATTCCTGCATGTGACTAAATTAAAAGGCGCTTAAAGGATATTTTTTTCTTTTTTATAAGCAGGACGCATTTGTTGAAATTTAAAATTGCACTAAATCATTTCCAGGATACACGTTGATTCAGTGACATGTTCATGACATATTCATAGACTTAAGAATGTTTTTATGCACCACAAAGTTAGTAGCTCAAGATGGCTTCATTAAGCTTGGTCAAGGCATTCGACGATAGTGTCCGATGACCGATGGTCGGCCCCTAACAAACAGTAGCCGCTTGCTATGCACTCACACGTAATGTACGAAGCACAAACAGCGACCTCACATGGCTAGGCTACAATATGCATATCAGTTGGTGCTGGTCAAACATCTTGGCAAAACTGTTCGCCTTAGCTTACGTTTTTCTTTATTTTGTCGCTGGATTTCAAGAAACGACCCCGTATCTGAATAAAAATGAGATTAATACTTCGTTGTGGAGGCTCATATTGTATGTTTACGCTTCAAACAGTATGTTTGAGTGCATACCACGCAGTCAATGTGCATGTTAGTGGCTGGCCATCGATCATCAGACACTATCGCTGAACACCTGGACCGTTAAGCTGCATAGACACCACATTGACGATTGTGAAAATTATGTTGTGTGTTACATTGACGATTTCATTAGTGTAAGATTTTGTAGCTAAGTTTCACAGTTTCAAGTTAGTGTATGGATTAGGACCAAGTTTGTAGATCAGAATTTGTATATACTTTTGTTCCAGTAACAAGACTTAAACTAATACTGAATGTTAAAAAACAAACTGGCAACACAATTCTTTTCACACAAAAAAACTTTGGAAACACATGTAATCTTCTCATAACTAATCATGATTTTGTGACATTATTTCAGACAGATTTACTCTTTTGTCTCCACCTTATTATTGGTTTTGCTTTCGATAGTTATTGTAACTTTATTTCCTGATATAAATTGCAACTGAGACATCAACTTGAGGAAATTGTCACAAGTCCAAACCAAAGCAAACTTTTACTTACAAGTCATGTGTATTCATCTCTCCATTCTAGGTGCCTTGTCTGGTGTCAATAGCATAGTGCATGCGGTGACTGGTGCCCGACGCTTCACATCTGAGCACCCTACTCATATGAAACGTAAAGCACGCCACTATACAGTCAATCCAGGAGCTACACTGTCCCCCATCAATCAGGAAACCAGTTACTCCCAATCCACACCCGACATGACTGGGAACCAGCCGGATATATTGGTGGAAGACGTCAGCAGTTTTGTTTTACCCAATTCAGACATAGAGCGAAGGCTGGACGACCTACAACACCAAATGACCAGACTGGAGTGTAAAGTCACCTCGGATATGGCCACCATCTTGGAATTGCTACGGAAGAACTACTCTCATTCCCTGTCAGGGCCAACGCCATTGCTGGCTAATCGACCACGCCAGGCAAGACCCACTCTGCCAAGGATGTGGTCTGGCCCCAGGCCCCACAGTCCCACTGCTACCGAACCTCCTAGTTCCAACAGAGCAGACTCTTCAACGTCAGCAGGAAGAACTGTGGCCGAGTCCGAACACACCAACAGCAGTGTGGATGGTTCGCGGCGTGGAAGCTTTCCAAAAGATTTAACTGGTACCGCCTCGTCTGACACTTCTAACACCCAAGTAGATGGACCGTTCAGACGAAGACATCCAGAGACACTGCTCTTGTCCTCCATGTCAGATATCTCAATCGACAGTCAGACCAGTCTGCACATAGATGATTTGGAAACTCCACCATTCTTGCAAAAAGGATCTTCCATTTCTAGGACTTCCACTAGTCCCTCCCCGCTTTCGTCGCCATGGCAGAGTGCTGGTACCCAGACTACCGAATTCCCTACCGTTAGAACATCGCCGGTTACAGAGTCGCCAGCCTCTTCGGTGCGCAACACTGATGTGTGAACGTGGTGGGCGGATTTTTTGGAACATACTTTTGTCCTTTCATCTTTTTGTCTCACCCAGTATCTCAACACGATGTGCTACAATGACTAAATTTTCATTCTGTATTAAAAAAAGCCATCTCATACATTGCAGTATTGTATATATATATTAATATTAGCCAGGGTGTGATCAGCACGTTAGAACAAGTACATGTTTTTTATACTTCTTTTTAGTTGAAAAAGACTGAAAAATGTTTTGCACTAGGTACAATATTCTTGAAGTACAATATACTTGTTTTTAAGTTTAAAAAAGACCAAGAGGTCTCAAAATAAAGCATTGAAAATATACATTGACATTGTACAAAGTATGAGATTTTTGGAAGAAAATCAGCTGATCTGAGGTCATTTTTGAATGTGTTTGAACAGTCATGCTAAATACTGCCACCTCAGTTGTACATGAGGCATGGGTTTGGTTTTTGAGACTTAACTGTCGTTCAGTGAATGAATGCTATTGAGACATGACTCTGTTGTGTCCAAGCTGTAATGATGAGCTGTGGATGTCGTCAGGCATTTGCAACAAGTACCCCCTCGCTGGCGACAGTAGGCAAGATAAATAGGCAGCCGTCTAAAGCCCACGTGAGACACAATATTTGGTTGTGCACATTCGCATGGAGAATATAGTCCATAGTTTGTGCCATATATCTGAGACGACTTGTCTTACTGAAAGATCTCAAAAGCTGTTCTCAGGTCGACCTTGTTACGACACAGATCAGTCGGCGACTGACTTTTCAGGATCAAGCTGCCCCTGAGCTACGACCGTCGGGAGCATTTTAGTCGCCAACTTTTTGCAACCTGAGTATAACAGCAGTTATATGAAGACGATCGGCATCAGGCAGTGCTAAAAAATAATCAATAGTCTCAAGAGCAGAAAAATGTCTGTGTCACAAAGGAACATGTTCCCCGACAGATGGGAATCAATTGCAGTCGACCTGTGTGAAGTTCCGATGTCATGTGCGCATCCGGATCATCTTATGTGAATCATCGTTGTGTCTTGGGTGAGGTGAGCATGGTGAGCAATTACACGATTTCTCAGATGCCGATGGTTCCGTTTCAGCGCAAGCAAATCGCAGGCGGAGCTGAGGGGTGGCCTTTTTGCATGGTCACAGAGTGCCATGGATTTCAGACAGTAATCCTATCCCAACTGGGGTAGATCTTACGCAACATTGAGATGGTCACTGATTCTCTCACTGTCCTACATTCTCGTTCCAATAAGGAGCAGAAAGCCAGTGGATTTAGAATCAATACGAGATACACATATGTGTAGTACGTAAAGGCAAACAACCTCAGCATTATTTAACGTCATGGTAATCTTGTTAGAACATGAATGACAATTTACGTTTATCGATTTTGAGATAACAAATCTATTAACTATATACCAGTGTATTTTTCTTAAATTTGTTATATTTATTATGGTTGAGATAGTTCAAATATTGACTTTTGAACATCCAAATGACCTGTGAATTGCGCTTCGACAATCTGATTTCCATTATTGATCGATTAGTGTCAAAACCGATGACCTCAATATAAATATTCAAGTCTAGAGGCTGAATGTACAGTATGTATAGAGGTACAGGTAGTTATATATTTGTTCAATTCAAGTTGCACAAATGGTTTATGTTTACAGCATACTAAAGACAGGTTGTTCTAGGATGTTTTGTTTTTATGAAAGATTTTATCCTTTGCCACATGAATTGCACTTTTATTCCGTAAACGAACACTTTTTAAAGTTTTGAAGTCTGAACAATGTAACTGCAGCAATCATGTTCAAAAGATGGACATTTTAATGAGATCAAATTTTGATTGATTTGAAGAGCTTTTTACTCTTGTGTGTACAGAGATGCTATCTTTCTTAACTATTAATGGTGATGCAAGTTTGTCTCAGCCCACCTTTGGAGCATTTTCATCATTTCCAATAGTCAGAGTAAGAGTTGCTTCATTATAGATATTGCTCTTGCGTTTCACAAGCAAATAGTCTCTAGTTAGTCTGTTGAAGCACTGGATGTATGTGTGGCTTTGAACAAAGCCGAGTGGCTTGACATAATGTAAGGAACCTCCAAGATACAGGGCTTTGCCCTGAAATGTTAGGCTTAATTGCCCCAAACCCTTCCGGATGAAATGGATTTTTAAGAATTGAGTATTTTAATTAGCTATGCTGTCCACTCCCACAGTATTGCTGTTCATGTTACATTTGGCGCTTCCTCTATATGATGCTTGCAATCAATATTGATGGAAGTATTGGCTTGGGCTATTTGTACATGACCAGTTGTGGATCTAGAGGGGGTGGGGGTCAAACCACTACCCCCCCCCCCCCCACCCTTCAGCCCCTGACTAATGTTATACATGTACTATTAAAATGGGGCCAAAATAATAAATGGAATGCTAAAGTTCCTCAATTTATTCTCAATTTGCCTTAGAATGCAGGAGAAATTTCAATTTTTATTTAATTTTCCGGGGCAAGTCCTGGCACACCTTCTCTCAACTCCCCCACCTTCATATCCCCACCCCCATACCCCCCCCCTACGTTTCCTGAAGGGTAGATACACCCCCAATGACAACTGTACATTGTATTGGTAAGTATTCTCGAGACATTTGATAAATCTTCCTATCTTACAAGCAGCTTGCTTTCGTTTTTGGCTTGTTTATTGGAGTAGTATATTTCACTTCACTGTACATTACCAGATTTGTATGCACATTAGAGGCCTTGACAATAAAATCACTCTCACAAGTGTACAGTCTGCATCATTTTGATAAACTAGGATTAAACATATCTAATTCTCTACTATTTACAGTGACTGCTGGCCCGTTCGTTACTGGTATCATTTTTAAAATTCGCAACACTGCTTTAGTAAGTTGCACTTTTCTATCCAGGTATGTGTTGACTTTTAATTAACAGTCCCTACAGTTTGTTGTTTACAAACCACCTGTCAACAAATAATAGTCACAGTACGATTTGCATAACAAATGCAGGCTAGAGGGCCTTTGCTCTGCATTTGATAAAACTTATGCATTCATCGGACTTCATCGATATTCCATTATTGTTAGTATGAAATTCAAGATCCGCAATTTATACCTTCGATATATTATTACCTTTTCTCTCTAATCACCATAAGCAATAAAAGTTGTGAAATACATGTACATGACTTGTACAGTATGCTGTCACTATGCTTGGCATTTTGTTACCTTAGATTCTTAACTAGGGTTGCTCATTGTAAGCTCCGAGTAAAAAAAGATTAGAAGGTTTGCTCGGTAAAGATGGCTATAAGATTAAGGTAATTTGCACCGCGTGACAACTCTCTTGTGAGTTTGCGAGGTTCAAGAACCGAGGGTAACTCAAGTAGACTCCTCGAAGACACACCAACATGCCTCACTGATCATCCAGCATCCTCTGCTCCAGCTACAATGTAGGACTCCACATTGCATCCTTCACGCGCTTCACCGCTTCCAGTCAAACACCCCTTCTCCGTTGGGATCCCTTCAGTCTCCTGACGACGGGCAGAGTATACTGCCCGAAACGTTGAATTCCCCCAGTTCTTTTCAGAACCTCACAAACCCTGAAAAGAGATTAGTCACATGGTGCTACTAGCCTAATTTATCTTAAAAACCTCAACTGAAGAACTTTCATTGAAGCAACTGCATATCATACTTTTACGGGTGGGTATTAATGGCTTGATTGGTCGATTGCTCAGTCGTCGGTCGGTCTGTTTGTAGTTCATCTTGCTTGCATGCTTTAGTCATTCGCAGGTCATAACAGTCAGTCGGCATTTGGATTGTTGCATGGATTTATTTTTCACCGGTGAAAATATTCAGGGAATAGACGTTATGCGTGTATAGCAGCCATCTTAGAGGGCAATGCCTTTGTTACTAAATTAAAATAACAAAAGATGCCCTCTAAAATGGCCGCTACGACTAACATCAATTTATCATTCGATCCATCAGTTAACGAATTGTTTGTTTATTATTGATGCATCAGTTAGTAGATCTATTAATCGATTGACTTTACAAATAATAATTGATTGATCAGTCAATCGCGTAAAATGTCATGAGTTTTGTTCCTATGTTGATTAAGATGCTTGTTATTCGCAAGTGGAGGGTGTACTGTTTCGATATAGACCTAATCTTTGGATGTTGCGAATCGCATTTTCCGATTTGCCACAATATTTGGGTTTATCAAAGTTGTTTGTCTTTGTACATTCTTCTCATGCAGTATGTATATTGGCAACAAAAATCAACATTGGTATTAAGTGTGTAATAAAAAGCAAAATACAGTACTATTCTGTAAATAGTGATACCTGTGTACAAGGGAATGTTTCCCCCTTGTTTTGCTGGTATGACCGACCACATACACGGAAGTTTAACACTTGACTAGATTTGGTTGACCTACGATTCTGATCTAGACATTGGATAACTGATAATCATGTTCTTAATTGTGATTTTTGTCCCTTAAAATGTTGAGTTGATTTGGTGTTATTGTAAATCTAAGGAAATCAGCCGGATAATAACATTTATATAATTAATGTATCGAGTATTCACCAGAAATGTAACCATTTATATGTGACAATTTTAGTTCAGTACTTCTCTGATTACTATTTGAGAAAATAACCCCCAAATGTTAAAACATTTTGGTGATTTTTATTTGTTTTTGACTGTCATTTTAAACGTCACCAAAATAAGCATTCAGCGTTTTTATCTGTAGCTTGCAAACTTTGAGTATTCATTTTTAATTTTTTGCTTTTGCATCGGTTACATTTTCATTAGACATGAACTTTTCAATATCCATTTTAGATGATATAACTTCTTCTTTGTTATGCAGCTATAGTAATTTCTTTATATCATAAGCTTCCCAATCAATGTCTACTTTTACCTGTTCGTGTTGTTTTAAACAGTAATAGCTGTCATTGGCTTTTATCATAACCACTCGTTTAAAGATTTTGACAATGGACATGAAGGCGAATACCAAATCACGACCTTTAGTCTAATTGGTCACAATGTTGATTCTTCATCATTCTTTTCACGAAGATCCAAAATAAAACGTAGGACATGTAAAATGCGAGTAAACCTGGCAAAGCACTATTTATTCATTACTGGACACCAAAACATGAACTTTTCTTAAATGTCACTTCAATTAGTGATAACGTGGACCAGTTTTAAGTTTCTTAAGATTAGTTTTAAAAAAAGTAATATATTTACAAATGTACCAACAATTTTCAACTAAGACCTATGAGAGATTACGACATGGGTCTCATTTTTGTGTGTGTATATCCGTGAAAGTTCTCGATTTACAGATTGTACATTATATGTATATAAAATGTTGTTTTCTTGCAAATATTGACGAGCTTGTAATAAGTGTAGAATTTGAAGCATTAAAAGACCGAGTCAAATCAACTTTTACACACGTATACCTCGATATGTTTTAAAGGCGTATAGTATCATTTCCTGCTTGTGCAGTTTGTTCGTGAACAGTATTAACACTCAGTATCCAAAGAAGAATGTTCAAAACCTCACCTGCTGAATTTTTAGCGCCATGGATGTTACACTTTTCGAGAAAACTGAAAAAAAACCTTTTGATCACGAAACAGAGGTATACCGTGGAAATTATTTTTGCATTTCGTGTAATTATCGCACGAAGACATTTCGGGGTGCAAAATGTTGCTCGAGAATGGAGCCGTTAGCTGACAAGTTTTCGGTATTAATGTTAACAACAAGTGGTTTCTGGTGACGCAGAATTTTGAAATGAAGTTACGTTAGGCCTGTAGGTAAACGATCTAAAGAAAAAAAATATTGGCGAACTCTGAATGAGGCCTGTGTACATTTAACTTTCCCTGCGCCAATTTTCTAGAAAAGTCACGTGTATGTGAGACATCGGGTTTTGAAAAAAACTCTGAACGCATGCCTCACTCCGATCTATATCTAGGATATGCCTGTAAAGTGTGCCGTTGCCAGCAAGTTTTCCTTGCGTAAAATAATATTTTATACATGTATGCTACAACAATACTATCATCTTTAAACCCCGACCGGCCGTAATACGATATAATATTGTAAATTTGTATACTGTAACTACAACCGTTAAACCTTATAGGGGGAAAAGGATTAAATAACATCACCCAAAAATAATTTGACTTTAGATTCCCGACTGTATTATCCATTAATATCGCATAAAGAGCCCTAGTATTATTATTAGATCGGACAGTATAAGGAAAAACGCTCTTCAGACGACTCGCACGAGAGATGACCCTTTCGTCTTCTCCTATTTCCCTTCACAGGCCTTTCTTTCTGTTTCGCAGTAACCCAATAATCAGCGGCAGGAGGCAGAGACTTGGTACCAGGCCAATCACGATAAACGCCAAGTCGTAGCTTCCTCTTGCTTCGTATATCCAGCCTATTGAATCAACAGAAACCAAAAAAATGATGATCATAAACTTTTACAAATCATAATACATGTATAGAAAAACAAACAAAACCTAGATATTTTGAAGGTACGTAGGGACGTTTGCAATTACCGGAAACGCACCTACCGATTGAATTTAACGAGAAAGTTTTCTTGCCACATGGTGGCGCCCTTGTCCTCACCGGTTGCATTAAGTTGTTTCCAATTCCAGAGTAGATTTCCTCAAATTGTGTTCTATCTTATTCTAGAATGATTGACTGGGTGAGTTTGACAAGCATCATGTCGGATACTATTGAAAAGACTCACTTCCGATATAGAATAAATGAAATAGGCCAGCAGCCACTGGCCCAGAAGTGGGTGAAGATCTTCCTGCACCTGTCCGCTCTGAACACCATCTACTTGTCACTCTCTCTTGCACAACAAAGTTTTCTCGAATCTGCACTTTGGCTCCGATGGGATCGTCAAAGTGATGAGGTGTACCAACTGGTACATTATTCACCTGATGGTGGATAGTGGGCAACACATACATCCCTATGTGAATTGTTTTCGTTTTGCTGAAAGAACACTTACCTTTTTGTGACGCGTGGGCAGAAGTTTAAAACGGTGTTTGTGTTTAAAATTCCCTAACTTGAAAAGTACATAAATGACTTGAATGATTCTTGTACCAAAAGAAAGCTTATGAATTGAGCTTTCATATCCTAGAATTTGAAAGAGCTATACATGCAGAACTAAAAAAATGATCCCAACATTTGGGTTGTTTTTTTGTGTGTGTGCTCAGCCTACATACTCACCAGGTACGAAACCAGCAAGAAGTCTTGGTATGAAGAGCCAGAAACGGACCCATCCGTAGGCGCTCACAAGTCGATCTTGTTTGAAGACGTCTCTGGTCATTACATCAACGAGTGTGTACAAAGCAGAGGCAAACAACCCACAGACGAAGGTGATGAACACATTGCCAGGAATGTCATTCACCCAGGGATCCACGAAAAACGACAGGCTCAGAGCTAAGCTGCTGACGATTATCGCCGTTGAACATTTCAAGATATCTCGATCAATGAACGGCGCCCAGATGATCCCTCCTATGGAATATCCGACGGCAGCTGCCGAACAAAGCACGGCAGCCACGTTGGGCGAGAAGCCCTTTACCAAAAGATGGGGAATATAATACAGCATCCAAGATTCGAACGCACACGTCGCTCCGAAGCGACACGTGGACACAGTCCAGAACTCGAACTCCAAATGTATCCCGAGATCTACAGCTTTGACGAGATGAAGAATAGATGTCTTACAACGACTGCAGCATCCTTCCTTGTCGATGTCATCCTGGTGGTTATCTGAGCTATCCGTAAGAGGCTCGTACTGTGCTTTGGTGACCCTGACAACGGCAGCACTTGCTATCTGATGCATACTGATTCCAGCAATAAGCAGCGCCGCTCCTCTCCAACCGTAGGTGTCGAGGAAAAGCTGCGTCATCGGTGCAAAAGCAAGAAGGGCAACTGCCAACCCGGTGCGGCCAATCCCGTTGGCCAAAGTGTATCGCTTTTGAAAGTGGCGTGTTAGTAGGACTTTATTGAGCACTGCCAAAACTCCCAGGCTGGGTCCTGAAAAAGAAAAAGAACACCTTTTATCAGATTTGGACGGTTGATGTCTCATTTTAAAGTGGAAAGGCGTATATCTTGGTTACACATTCGACGTCTGGCATTCCGTTATATTTTGTTTGCATTTTTTTAGACACACTGTAGATAGAGCTATAGTAAATTAATTTATAGGTCTATGGTTCTTACCTACTAGAACCGTCAAAGCCAGAGCAATGTGAATGGTGCTTGTTGAAAGAGGCACCAAAAGCAAGCCTGTGCTGAATACCACACTGCTAAAGATTAACAGAAGTCGACAGGAAAATCTCCTTTCCAAGGGCACGCTCAGGACACCTTGAATAAAGAAAGTAGTCGTGTGGTAAAATGTTTTAATTTGGTAAAATTTTGGTAACTGGTTCGGGGGCTACACTTTTGGATTTTAGGTAGTCCTTTTCGCACCTTGTTTTCACATGCAAAATGCAAGTGTTATTTGTGAGTTTTTTGTTTTTTAGGCATAGAGAAAGGTTCATAGTTTTTAGTGTATTTGTAAATTTCAGAAAAGCTGTCATTTTGTACAATCATTTGTGTGGGTAAACCGTTGGTCATTATGTAACGGTCACTCCATAACGCTTTACTCATTTACATTGTTTCATACTAACATATTTTTGACCGATCTTCAATTAAAAGGGTAGCATCTCAAAGCTAAACGAAGACAGAAAGACTAAGACTATGCTTAAAAAAAATGATGGCTTTTTGAAATGCCAAGAATACGATTGATTTGCATATTAAACAAAATGTCATGTCCATTTTGCTTCACTTCGTATATAGCAAATATGAAAATTTATATTTCATAAAATATGATGCATCAAGGGTGGAATTTCTGCGCCGTTTGTTTGTTGATGTACAAACTTCACTCTCTCGCTCGAGTGTTATTCAACTGTTTATGAAATATTTTTTGAAACTATGAAAACGGCTTGTGTTTGTCACTGTGTAACGCTTGAAACTGTCCCACGGTTCACGTTAGGATGTATGTGAATTGTTTTCGTTTTGCTGAAAGAACACTTACCTTTGCTGTGATCCTTGGACAGAAGTTTAAATCGGTGTTAGTGTTCAAAATTCCGTAACTTGAAAAGTACATTGAGTGATTTGAGTGATTCTTGTACTAAAAGAAAGCATATTAATTGGGCTTTAGAAAGTGCTTCATGTTGGTCCTGTCATTTGGGTTTCCTTTTTTTTTATACTCACCCTGTGTACTCTAGGGGGGAATACAGTGATTGTCGAGTCAGGCGTTTAGGAAAAGCTTTTAGTGAGACATTAACACACACGAAACGCTATTTTAACTGAATCTTTTTACGTTTAATTTGAATGATTCGTGCCATGCCATTACTATATTATTTAACAACAACAACAACAACAACAACAAAACACAACCACCTTACCTGCAACATCCGACATAACCCCCATGGCCGACGCAATGATTCCAATGACCCAGGTGTGTGTGGTGAATTGGTCCGTCAGCGTCGGCAACAAAACGCCCAGACCTTTGGCAACGCATCCCCACATCAGAGTGAAGGTAAACCACATCAGGACGAGGAAACAACCGGCAGTGTCGAACTCCATGGCCACACGATTGATAAAAGTAAGAAGATGAGCCAGACGAAAACTCTTGTCAGGTAAAATGATGCGCAAAACAGGGTGAAAAACTTCCAAGACACTCTAGTTCGCAACCCGGCATTTAAACGCCTTTTTTATAACCCGCCCAGGTCATGCAGCTATTATTATCGCCCGATCAAAAACGAATTTACACAATAAAGAAGAACGTGTCAGCAGTGAAATAGTTGTAAACGCGTATACAGTAGTTATCATTGTTGCACACCAGTTACATTTACCTACCAAACAGGAAATTATGAATTCAAAGTGGAATCTAGGTCAGTATGGCCTGTTTTCTGAACCGTATACTTGTCAACACGGATCTATTGGAAATACAGGTGGAATTCCACATGCATGCCTACCTAGACCGTCAATACGACCACGTATAAAAAAAAAGCCATTTTGATTTTCCTGGGCATTTAGTTTATTTTCTGCAAACTTATAAACTTAAATTAGGTTTTGCCATTCACCGACGTTTAAACACTATATTCTCAGTGTGTTACCTCCCGAATGAAAATTGGAAAAAAAATCACTCGGGTGGGAGTCGAACCCACGACTTCCTGCTTTTCTAGTGCAGATGTCTTACTACTCGACCACCGAGCTAACGGGATCGGTTGGCTGGTTCGAATCTGATGTACATAGCAGCGGGTACCGCATAAACTATTATAAGATGGAATTTTTGCGCCGGGGTGATATAAATCAAATTAGGTTTTGCCCTTCACCTACGTTTAAACCATAGGATTGTATTAGGGACGTGGCTAACTCGCAAACGGCGATAGGTCAATTGTATTTTCTGCAAACTTATAAACCTATAAACCTTTATATATTGCAGGTCATTTATTCAAGAGCATATGGTTTTCAGTAAAAGCGTGTGCTTATTTTTTATTCATACAGATGGTTGTAAATGCAAATGCCAGTTTTTTATAAATACTAATTATGGTATTATTTGTACTTTATGAGCTGTGTTAGTATTAATCTTTCGCGATTACAAATGCAGTTATTTTTGCGCAGAATATTATGTGTTTTATATTTTTAGGTAGCCGCAATTATGACAAGTAAATATTTGAAATCTTAAGCATTTACTAATTTTTATTCAAACGAAGTAAACGCTTATAGTAATCATTTTCAGCTTTTAGCAAATGGTTTTTAGTAAAATTGTTTGCTTAATTTGTATTCATACAGATGCGAGTAAAATAATGCTTAATAATTGGTATTAAATGCAAATGCCAGTTTTTATAAATACGAACTAAGGTATTATTTGTACTTTGTGGACTCTGTTAATATTAATTTTTCGCGATTAAAATTAATAAATGCAGTAATTTTTGCGTAGAATTAATTGCTTTATAATTTCAAGGCTGCCCCAACCCAGCCTTCAAAACGACAGGTGCATATTTGAAATCTAAAGCATTTAGTCCTTATAATTCATACCAAACGAAGTAAACGATCATTAAATTATTCATTTATTTCTGGTAATGAGCCAATGATTCCTCAAAAGTGCATGCCCCAGGCACTGTAGCTCGCAAGCCTGAAGAAACCTGTAGGGAGGAGCCAATGAGAAGAAAGTACAGTTTTAGAGGTGGGAGGAAAACCCCCAACAGAATATTCTGGGGAAAACCCACGGAATCAGGTAGGGACTGAAAACCCAATCCACATGTAGACCATGGTGCCGATGCACAGCGCATTGTGCGAGTAAACAGCATTGCATTCGTCACATTTGGCGCGCGTTTTTTGTGTCTGTCCTCCAGCACGTGACAAGGCCGCGCGAATGCACGCACTGCCTAGTATTTTATTCTATATCTACAACCTCGTCCCCAGGGTGCCGTGTCGAGCAGTACGTGCCCACCACTACTTGCTCTCTCACCCTGGTATTGGATCATTTGCATGTGCAAAATTTTTGAACACGTATGCAAATGAGGAATAGTGTGGTGCCTGCCTGTGCATGCGTTACATTTGCATTTGTTTCAGTATGCGGTGTCTGGGGTAAAAACAGCACCAATTCGTCGCGCCCGTGAGTTATGAATTCCCAATTCTATAACATTCAAAGTTATAGCACTGAGGATTCATGGATCGGGAGCCAGCCAAGCCCATGCTTCGTGTGTTCCCTCGCCGCTTCACGGTTACCATTTCGGGATTTTCCCCAAGCATCATCCTTGTCCCAGCGACATGTATTATCCGTTGCCTAGGGAAATCTCGGGAATTTTATAGAAATTATATTTCAGGTGATCGCAAAGCAGGCCCATGAAGCAATAATAACACACCCAAAAAAAAAACAATTAAAAAAATAATTGGCAATATTTATCTCTCAAACCTTTTCTCTATAGTGTAAAAATGCATTGCATTGGCGTTATCTACGAAATCGGTTTGCTAAAGTTGGTGGCTCTTTCAGCGATCCTTTAATTGCACTCATACAGACTGCGACCTCTGAGACATTTACATACAGAAATCAGAATTCTATGTTCCGCCATATTTATGGCATTTATGTAATAACAAACTTTGAATCCCTAAGAAAAAAATTAATAATCGCATCCGCCCAAGGAATAGACTTTAGACTCCCAAAGCATCCATAATAATTGCCTTCTTATTGCCCTCGTATAATTATTACACCATTGGTTCCGACAACATAAAAAACATCTTCAAAAGACTCGCACAAGAGAGGACCTGTTCGTCTTATACATTATGTCCCTTCACAAGCCGTTCGTTGTCTTCCTCAGTAACCCAATAATCAACGGCAGGAGGCAGAGAGTTGGTACCAGGCCAATCACGATAAACGCCAAGTCGTAGCTTCCTCTTGCTTCGTATATCCAGCCTATAAATAAACAGAAACCAATTGTCATAACCGAAACTTCTGTTTCAATCGTCACATACTAATTCATATTTTTCTTTCAGGTTTGGTTTTCCAATCAAGATTTGGCAGTAGCGTCGGTAATACTTGTCTTTCATTCGACGTTCATCTTTGAATTCAATAATTTTGCCGTTTCTTACAGAAAACAACTACATGTATTTGGAAGAAGATCCAGGTCAATCCCGAGCCCCTATCATGTACATCTCCATCAAATTATACAAATACAAAAAAGTCGGTTACTTCAAGGTAAATCATCCAAGGAGTGATCGACATTTAGGAATACCTACCAGGTAGGAACCCAGCAAGAATTCCGGGTGCGAAGAGGAGGACCCGACCCCAGACGAAGGCGCTCACAAGTCGATCCATTTCAAACATGTCTCTAGTCAAGACGTCCTGGAGCGTGTACAGAGCAGCGGTAAACAATCCACAGATGAAGGTGGCGACTGCATAGCTAGCAATGTCATTCACCCAGGGATCTACAACAAACGACAGAGACAGAAATAGGCTGCTGATGATGATCGCTGTTGAGCATTTCATGATGCCACGGTCGATGAGGGGTGCCCACATGATCGACCCAAGGAAATACCCAACAGCAGCTGCCGAGCAAAGAGCAGCTGCCACTTGGGGCGGGAAGCCCTTGGCTTCTAAGTGAGGAACGTAATATAGCACCCAAGCATTGAAGGTAAAAGACACTCCGAAACGACCCATGAACACAATCCAAAACTTGAACTCCAACAGTATTCCCAGATCTACAGCTTTGACGAGATGAAGAATAGATTTCTTGCCACGACTTCTGCATCCTTCCTTGTCGATGTCATCCTGGTGGTTATCTGAGCTATCCGTAAGAGGCTCGTACTGTGCTTTGGTGACCCTGACAACGGCAGCACTTGCAATCTGATGCATACTGATTCCAGCAAGAAGCAGCGCCGCTCCTCTCCAACCGTAGGTGTCGAGGAAAAGCTGCGTCATCGGTGCAAAAGCAAGAAGGGCAACTGCTTGCCCGGCATGGCCAATCCCACAGGCTAAAGTGAATCGCTCACGAAAGTGGCGTCCTAGTACGACTCTGTTGAAAACCATGATAATTCCAACGTTTGGTCCTGGGAAAAAAAGAAGTATCCGAGTGGTGCATTAAAGCTCTTATTCATTTTTTTACACAAGTGGTATTGTGTTACAACCAAATATATGATTTCAACGAACTAGTTAACTATTTGACAAATTAGTCAGATGGTGTTTACATTATTATAAATATGTTATTATACACAAGTCTTCACCTACTAATACTGCAAATGCCAGAGCAACGTGAATAGTGCTTCTTGCCAGAGGAAACAACAGCAACCCTATGCTTTCAACTGCGCTGGTGACGATCAACAAACGTCGACAGCTAAATCTTTCATCCAACGGCATGGTTAGAAGACCTTAAATCAAACAAAATAAATGAAGCTTTACTGTAGATTGCATTTTCTTTCTGATGAGTCTGATAGCGAAAACTAAATAATACATTTTATTATCAAATGACGAGCGTACGCTCCTGTACTACCTCCCAAATATGACGTTATTGTCAGGACTGATGCAATGATTCCAATGACCCAGGTGTGTGTGGTGAATTGGTCCGTCAGCGTCGGCAACAAAACGCCCAGGCTTTTGGTAACGCATCCCCACATCAGATTGCAGGTAAACGAAAACAGGACGAGGAAATAACCATCAGTGTCGAATTCCATGGTGATGTTTGCAGGTAATATGCACCGCAGTATAGGCGAGAGAGGCAGGAAGTTAGGGTTTAGGCCAATTTCGTTTAGGTATGACTATGATGATGTAGAAAGTGGTCATAGCAGCACAGCACGAGTGCGCCTCCGTATCAACCCGTTAGACAGACATTTGTGAAATAGAACCCGCTTTCAAAATTGTTGAGAATAGAATCCGACATGGGGCAGTAGCTTTCCAGAACATGTAGCTGGCTCAATGGATTTCGCTATTGAAGGAAGCCGAGTGTAGTGACCTCGTGCTCCGAGTTGTCTATGTCTATACATCGTAATACAATGGCTTGTATGTATCGACCTTGGTAATGGAACGAAGGGGGAAAACTACAGAGTATTTGTTGTTATATGTTCATGTATTTAATTGTGTATTTTTTCATAAATGCGCTGGATTTTCTTTACAGAGTTAAAATGATATATTTAAACTTCAACATGTGAACCCCTCAAACGTTCTACGTGTTTCTATTTTTAAGGCCCACATTAATGCGTACGTATTTGCAGTTGTGCATGTCAAGAATGGTACGTGTACTCGAGTTACCATTGTATCAAAAAAGAGCCATTGACTACTCAATGGCGGGAGATGACAAAGTACACAAAATATTATACACTTTTCTGAGGCAACTTTAGCCACTGAGACAATTGTGAGGCACTGAGTACTTTCGTTGGTAAAACGTTTTTACTTTAAATACAAAATATAAAGGAGGTTTAAGCTTACTGTACGGTTTCGTTACGTGACGTTTGATGATTTTGTAAAAATATGACAAAATAAATGCGATGTTAGTAGTAGTGGGGCTCACTCTTAACTCTGTTGCCATGATTATTGTATAAAGAGTTAGCTTATCACAATGCAGACAGCCTTTTTAACTCCCCGTTGTTGGTTGAACCGACTGTTATAATCAATTTTTTGTGAACATACGATACGATAAGCGTTACAGAGGCTTTGACCTAATTGAGGCTAATTGCTACATGGAATAATATTTAACTACATTGCGTGTCATTGTTAACACGTTAAATATTTTCCCACTTGAGTTCGTGTTTTGAAGAGATATATTTCCCTAGTTCCATCAGTTTTCTTTGTGAGTGCTCTTTGCATTAATTTCGGTTAAATAATGAAAGAAACTTGATTACTCCTTTTCGTTTGTGGAGCTTTGCAGGTTTTAAGGATATTATCCTAAAAAGGGATTAAAAAAAATTCTCGCCGTTTAATAGCTCCAAAATAGCGCCACATAGGCCTAATAGTTTCACCTTGGAAATATTATGGAGCAAAATTAGTTCTTATTCACATTTCACAACATATTTGAGTAATTTCAAACCTTCTCTCAATAGTGTAAAAATTCAGCCATTGGCGTTATCTACGAAATCGGTTTGTTAATTTGGTGGCTCTTTCAGCGATCCTTTATTGCTCTCATTTAGATAGCATAGAGAACATCTTAAATGTTTTGCGACATTTGAGACATTTACATACAGAAATCAAAATTCTATGTTCGCCATGTTTATGACATTTATGTAATTGCACACTTTAAATCCTAAGAAAAATATTGATAATCCCATCCGCCCAAGGGACAGACTTTAGATTCCCAAAGCATCCATGATTGCCTTCTTATTGCCCTCGTATTACACCATTGGTTCCGACAACTTAAAAACTATCTTCAAAAGACTCGCACAAGAGAGGACCTGTTCGTCTTATACATTATGTCCCTTCACAAGCCGCTCGTTGTCTTCCTCAGTAACCCAATAATCAACGGCAGGAGGCAGAGAGTTGGTCCCAGGCCAATCACGATAAACGCCAAGTCGTAGCTTCCTCTAGCTTCGTATATCCAGCCTATAAATAAACAGAAACCAATTGTCATAACCGAAACTTCTGTTTCAATCGTCGCATACTCATTCATATTTTTCCTTTCAGGTTTGGTTTTCCAATCAAGATTTGGCAGTAGCGTCGGTAATACTTGTCTTTCATTCGATGTTCATCTTTGAATTCAATAATTTTGTAGTTTCTTACAGAAAACAACTACATGTATTTGGAAGAAGATCCAGGTCAATCCCGAGCCCCTATCATGTATATCTCCATCAAATTATACAAATACAAAAAAGTCGGTTACTTCAAGGTAAATCATCCAAGGAGTGATCGACATTTTAGGAATACCTACCAGGTAGGAACCCAGCAAGAATTCCGGGTGCGAAGAGGAAGAGCCGACCCCAGACGAAGGCGCTCACAAGTCGATCCATTTCAAACATGTCTCTAGTCAAGACGTCCTGGAGCGTGTACAGAGCAGCGGTAAACAATCCACAGATGAAGGTGGCGACTGCATAGCTAGGGATGTCATTCACCCAGGGATCTACAACAAACGACAGAGACAGAAATAGGCTGCTGACGATGATCGCTGTTGAGCATTTCATGATGCCACGGTCGATGAGGGGTGCCCAGATGATCGACCCAAGGAAATACCCAACAGCAGCTGCCGAGCAAAGAGCAGCTGCCACCTGGGGCGAGAAGCCCTTGACTTCTAGATGAGGAACGTAATACAGCACCCAAGCATTGAAGGTAAAGGACACTCCGAAACGAATCATGAACACAATCCAAAACTTGAACTCCAATAGTATTCCCAGATCTACAGCTTTGACGAGATGAAGAATAGATTTCTTGCCACGACTTCTGCATCCTTCCTTGTCGATGTCATCCTGGTGGTTATCTAAGCTATCCGTAAGAGGCTTGTACTGTGCTTTGGTGACCCTGACAACGGCAGCACTTGCAATCTGATGCATACTGATTCCAGCAAGAAGCAGCGCCGCTCCTCTCCAACCGTAGGTGTCGAGGAAAAGCTGCGTCATCGGTGCAAAAGCAAGAAGGGCAACTGCTTGCCCGGCATGGCCAATCCCACAGGCTAAAGCGAATCGCTCACGAAAGTGGCGTGTTAGTACGACTTTGTTGAGAACCATGATAATTCCAACGTTTGGTCCTGGAAAAAAAGAAGTATCCGAGTGGTGCATTAAAGCTAGTCTTACTCATTTTTTAACACAAGTGGTATTGTGATACAACCAAATATATTATTTCAACGAACTATATATAGAGAACTGTTTGACAAATTAGTCAGATGGTGTTTACATTATTATAAATATGTTATTATACACAAGTCTTCACCTACTAATACTGCCAATGCCAGAGCAACGTGAATAGTGCTTCTTGCCAGAGGAAACAACAGCAACCCTATGCTTTCTACTGCGCTGGTGACGATCAACAAACGTCGACAGCTAAATCTTTCATCCAACGGCATGGTTAGAAGACCTTAAATCAAACAAAATAAATGAAGCTTTACTGTAGATTGCATTTTTCTTTCTGATGAGTATTATAGCGAAAACTAAATAATACATTTTATGATCAAATGATGAACGTACGCTCCTGTACTACCTCCCAAATGTGACGTTATTGTCAGGACTGATGCAATCATTCCAATGACCCAGGTGTGTGTGGTGAATTGGTACGTCAGCGTCGGCAACAAAACGCCCAGGCTTTTGGTAACGCATCCCCACATCAGATTGGAGGTAAATGAAAACAGGACGAGGAAATAACCATCAGTGTCGAATTCCATGGCTATGTTTTCAGGTTATACACCGCAGTACAAAGTTGCCATTCTTTCAGTTAGGCGAGTGAGGTAGGAAGTTAGGTTTAGGCCAACATCGTTTAGGTATGATGATGATGATGATGTAGAAAGTGGTTATAACAGCACAGCACAGCACAGCACAGCACGAGTGCGCCTCCGTATCAACCCGTTAGACAGACATTTGTGAAATAGAACCCGCTTACAATATTGTTGAGAATATAATCCGTCATGGGGCAGTAGCTTTCCAGAACATGCAGCTGGTAGAATGATTTCGCTATTAAAGAGCCTCGTATTGAGTGTACAAAAAAGTTATTCTCAATTTGCCTTAGAATGCAGGAGAAATTTCAATTTTATTTAATTTCCCCGGGGCAAGACCTGGCACACCTTCTCTCAACTCCCCCCCCTACCTTCATATCCCCACCCCCCGACTTTGTTGAAAACCATGATAATTCCAACGTTTGGTCCTGGAAAAAAAAAGTATCCGAGTGGTGCATTAAAGCTAGACTTACTCATTTTTGAACACAGGTGGTATTGCGTTACAACCAAATATATTATTTCAACGAACTAGTTAACTATTTGACAAATTAGTCAGATGGTGTTTACATTATTATAAATATGTTATTACACACGTCTTTACCTACTAATACTGCCAATGCCAGAGCAACGTGAATAGTGCTTCTTGCCAGAGGAAACAACAGCAACCCTATGCTTTCTACTGCGCTGGTGACGATCAACAAACGTCGACAGCTAAATCTTTCATCCAACGGCATGGTTAGAAGACCTTAAATCAAACAAAATAAATGAAGCTTTACTGTAGATTGCATTTTTTTTCTGATGAGTCTTATAGCGAAAACTAAATAATACATTTTATGATCATATGACGAACGTACGCTCCTGTACTACCTCCTAAATATGACGTTATTGTCAGGACTGATGCAATCATTCAAATGACCCAGGTGTGTGTGGTGAATTGGTACGTCAGCGTCGGCAACAAAACGCCCAGGCTTTTGGTAACGCATCCCCACATCAGATTGCAGGTAAACGAAAACAGGACGAGGAAATAACCATCAGTGTCGAATTCCATGGCTATGTTTTCAGGTTATACACCGCAGTACAAAGTTGCCATTCTTTCAGTTAGGCGAGTGAGGTAGGAAGTTAGGTTTAGGCCAACATCGTTTAGGTATGATGATGATGATGATGTAGAAAGTGGTTATAACAGCACAGCACAGCACAGCACAGCACAGCACAGCACAGCACAGCACGAGTGCGCCTCCGTATCAACCCGTTAGACAGACATTTGTGAAATAGAACCCGCTTACAAAATTGTTGAGAATAGAATCCTTCATGGGCAGTAGCTTTCTAGAACATGCAGCTGGTTTAATGATTTCGCTATTGAAGGAAGCCGTGTGTAGTGACCTCGTGCTCGAGTTGTCGATGTCTATACATTGTAAAACAATGGCTTGTTTGTATCAACCTTGGTAATGGAACGAAGGGAGAAAACTACCGATTATTTGTTGTTATATGTTCATGTATTTAATTGTGTATTTTCTCATAAATGCGCTGGGTTTTCTTTACAGAGTTAAAATGATATATTTAAACTTCAACATATGAACCCCTCAAACGTTCTACGTGTTTCTATTTTGAAGGCCCACATTAATACGTACGTATTTGCAGTTGTGCATTTCAAGAATGGCACGTGTACTCAAGTTACCATTGTATCAAAAAAGAGCCATTGACTACTCAATGGCGGGAGATGACAAAGTACTCAAAATATTATACACTTTTCTGAGGCAACTTTAGCCACTGAGACAATTGTGAGGCACTGAGTACTTTCGTTGGTAAAACGTTTTTACTTTAAATACAAAATATAAGGCCAAACAAAAAAAGTCTCCGGTTTCTGGTATGCGCGCGCGTCGCCGTAGCCATGCGCGTCGGCAAAATGAAAACGTTTTTTTTTCAATGAAAGATGATGTCTCAAAACCGCCACACTCACTCGTTTGACTGGAATCCTGCTGCTGCACAATTTTAACGTGTTTTTAGATTGGGTTATGGTCGAGAATAAGCTTTATGTGGCCTCTCTGGACTCCCATATATTTGCACTAAGATTAGTCGGGCACCATTTGCAGTCATCAGCCGACATTTGAAGCAAACAAATCAGGTAAAAAAAAAAAAAAAGCCGCGTCGCCGCACCACTTTTTGGGCAAGCTCCATACCAGAAACCGGAGACTTTTTTTTGGCCTAAAGGAGGCTTAAGCTTACTGTACGGGTTCATTGGGTGACGTTTGATGATTTTGTAAAAATATGACAAAATAATTGCGGTGTTAGTAGTAGTGGGGCTCATGCACTCTTAACTCTGTTGCCATGATTATTGTATAAAGAGTTAGCTTATCACAATGCAGACAGCCTTTTTAACTCCCCGTTGTTGGTTGAACCGACTGTTATATCAATTTTTTGTGAACATACGATACGATCAGCGTTACAGAGGCTTTGACCTAATTGAGGCTAATTGCTACATGGAATAATCTTTAACTACATTGCGTGGAATTATTAACACGTTGAATTTTTTTCCCACTTGAGTTCGTGTTTTGAATAGATATATTTCCCTAGTTCAATCAGTTTTCTTTTTGAGTGCTCTTTGCATTAATTTCGGTTAAATAATGAAAGAACTTGATTACTCCTTTTCGTTTGTGGAGCTTTGCAGGTTTTAAGGATATTATCCTTAAAAAGGATTTAAAAACATTTCCCACCGTTTAATAGCTCCAAAATAGCGCCGCATAATAGTTTCACCTTGGAAATATTATGGAGCAAAATTAGTTCTTATTCACATTTCACAACATATTAGAGGAATTTCAAACCTTCTCTCAATAGTGTAAAAAATCCAGCCATTGGCGTTATCTACGGAATCGGTTTGTTAATTTGGTGGCTCTTTCAGCGATCCTTTAATTGCGCTAATTTAGATAGCATAGAGAACATCTTAAATGTTTTGCGACATCTGAGACATTTACATACAGAAATCAGAATTCTATGTTCGCCATGTTTATGACATTTATATAATTATAAAAAAAAGGAAGACTGCTGCAAACTGCTAACTGACTGGGTGGACCTGAGATATATAAATCTAAAAATTAATGTGGCCTGACGTTGCGAACTTAGCAAGTTCTTCTTCAGAGGTGTTAGTCCCCTTAGAGTCATTCTGTGTTAGCCTCTGAAGAAGAACTTGCTAAGTTCGCAACGTCAGGCCACATTTATATAATTACACACTTTAAATCCTTAGAAAAATATTGATAATCCCATCCGCCCAAGGAATAGACTTTAGATTCCCAAAGCATCCATAGTTGCCTTCTTATTGTCCTCGTATTACACCATTGGTTCCGACAACATAATTAAAACTCTCTTCAAAAGACTCGCACAAGAGAGGACCCGTTCGTCTTATACATTATGTCCCTTCACAAGCCGTTCATTGTCTTCCTCAGTAACCCAATAATCAACGGCAGGAGGCAGAGAGTTGGTCCCAGGCCAATCACGATGAACGCCAAGTCGTAACTTCCCCTTGCTTCGTATATCCAGCCTATAAATAAACAGAAACCAATTGTCATAACCGAAACTTCTGTTTCAATCGTCGCATACTGATTCATATTTTTCCTTTCAGATTTGGTTTTCCAATCAAGATTTGGCTGTAGCGTCGGTAATACTTGTCTTTCATTCGATGTTCATCTTTGAATTCAATAATTTTGCAGTTTCTTTCAGAAAACAACTACAAGTATTTGGAAGAAGATCCAGGTCAATCCCGAGCCCCTATCATGTATATCTCCATCAAATTATACAAATACAAAAAAGTCGGTTACTTCAAGGTAAATCATCCAAGGAGTGATCGACATTTTAGGAAACCTACCGGGTAGGAACCCAGCAAGAATTCCGGGTGCGAAGAGGAAGAGCCGACCCCAGACGAAGGCGCTCACAAGTCGATCCATTTCAAACATGTCTCTAGTCAAGACGTCCTGGAGTGTGTACAGAGCAGCGGTAAACAATCCACAGATGAAGGTGGCGACTGCATAGCTAGCAATGTCATTCACCCAGGGATCTACAACAAACGACAGAGACAGAAATAGGCTGCTGACGATGATCGCTGTTGAGCATTTCATGATGCCACGGTCGATGAGGGGTGCCCACATGATCGACCCAAGGAAATACCCGACAGCAGCTGCCGAGCAAAGAGCAGCTGCCACTTGGGGCGAGAAGCCCTTGACTTCTAGATGAGGAACGAAATACAGCACCCAAGCACTAAAGGTAAAGGACACTCCGAAACGACTCATGAACACAATCCAAAACTTGAACTCCAATAGTATTCCCAGATCTACAGCTTTGACGAGATGAAGAATAGACTTCTTGCCACGACTTCTGCATCCTTCCTTGTCGATGTCATCCTGGTGGTTACCTAAGCTATCCGTAAGAGGCTCGTACTGTGCTTTGGTGACCCTGACAACGGCAGCACTTGCAATCTGATGCATACTGATTCCAGCAATAAGCAGCGCTGCTCCTCTCCAACCGTAGGTGTCGAGGAAAAGCTGCGTCATCGGTGCAAAAGCAAGAAGGGCAACTGCTAGCCCGGCATGGCCAATCCCACAGGCTAAAGTGTATCGCTCACGAAAGTGGCGTCCTAGTACGACTCTGTTGAGAACCATGATAATTCCAACGTTTGGTCCTGAAAAAAAAGAAGTATCCGAGTGGTGCATTAAAGCTAGTCTTACTCATTTTTGAACAAAAGTGGTAGTGTGTTACAACCCAATATATTATTCCAACGAACTAGTTAACTATTTGACAAATTAGTCAGATGGTGTTTACAAATTATAAATATGTTATTATACACACGTCTTTACCTACTAATACTGCAAATGCCAGAGCAACGTGAATAGTGCTTCTTGCCAGAGGAAACAACAGCAACCCTATGCTTTCTACTGCGCTGGTGACGATCAACAAACGTCGACAGCTAAATCTTTCATCCAACGGCATGGTTAGAAGACCTTAAATCAAACAAAATAAATGAAGCTAACACTAAATTTACATTGCATTTTTTTCCTGATGAGTCTTATAGCGAAAACTAAAGAATAAACTTGATTATCGAACACCTGTACTACCTCCAAAATATGACATTATTTCCATCACCGACGCAATGATTCCAATGACCCAGGTGTGTGTGGTGAATTGGTCCGTCAGCGTCGGCAACAAAACGCCCAGACTTTTGGCAACGCATCCGTACATCAGATTGGAGGTAAATGAAAACAGGACGAGGAAATATCCATCAGTATCGAATTCCATGGCGATGTTTTAAGATTATACACAGCGGTACAAGGTTCCTATTCTTTCAGTTAGGCGACTGCAGTAAGGCAATTAGGGTTTGGCTAACATCTGTTTGGTATGATGTAGAAAGTGAAGTGGTAATCTTGAGCAGCCTACCACAGCACGAGTGTGGCCCGTATCAAGCCGGACATTCCTTTAATTGAACCCGCTTACAAAATATCTTTGAAATAAAATCTGTGACGGGTCTATTAATTTCCTTTACACAATATTATGGAGTTGGCCCTTTGCTTCCGTATTGAATTAAACCTCTTGCATGATGAGTGTACATGACCTTTGACATGACCTTGGTCCCGGACGGCTTGTTTGCATTGAGCTGTGCAATGGCCAATAGAACGAAGGCAGATCCAGGAATTTTCGCATGGGGGTCGTGCCGACATTCATAAAAGGGCATACGCGAATCAAATAAATCAAGCCTTTGTGATATAACAATGATACATTTTACTATACACAATTGACCGTGAGCAGTTTGAGTGTATTGGTCGTAAAAATGTCGCCAGATCTGCAAACATGTCCCTGACGTTTAGAGAAGAAGTTAGAACCCCCATGTAACGGAATGAATGAGTCCTCATTTGCATAGCGGTGCACCATCGGATCTCACCGCAAAATGCCTGCATAATATTTCGCTGCTTGCATAATAATTATGAATAACGGTGGGAGGACGTAATCGTCAAGTCGTTAGATTTGTCGCAACCCGACCGATTACGTACTAGTCTTATACCAGCCGCGCCGATTGAGTTCGACTGAAGTTCGCGGACACAACGACTTGCCATCAAGTCTAGTTCTTTAGTAAAATCAAACGTCATACGCGCGCGCAGCACTGATTACTAGCGCCCATTGGATATACACTCAAGTGGCGTTACTCATGGCCAGTGGGCGTGGTTTACAATTAACTGACGTCACACTAACGAACCGGATTTTCTTAGCATGCGTGACGTCAATTCATTCCGAATTCAGGACTAACTTTTTGTGATTGGTCAATTTCGATGCCGCGTTTTGTAATACAACAACCTGTACAAAAATGATATTCCGTGATCGCGGGCGTGAGGTTTACGTACGCGGGGAACTCAAATTACGGGCGTATAGAAGGCGCCTGCTGATTGGTCATTTTCTCGAGGTTATTCGCAGTGGCCAGCTAGGGTCTATCTCATAGACTAGTCTTGATTGACGGGGGTGTCGCCAAACCGATTGAAGGCAGGGGTGGGGGGGGGGGGGGGTTAAAAACAACAAATTTCCTGCGACACACCATCCGTTGTAGATGTGGAAAGTAGGTTGGATTTCCCCCGGCCCCCGGTTATCAATCATGATCAGAGGCTGCCGCCAAAATAAATCACAAAGTTAGGGCATGGGGGATGGACAACATTTTACTATTGGGGGCGCTGTTCAAAACGACGGTCCTGGACATTGTCAGTCAGTAGGTGGCGCTTTCTTGTGGCATATACGGTTGCAGACCAGTAAATAAACTTCCATAGACCCCAATGGTAAATGCTCACACTTCAGAAATTCGGGGAAAATACTCACAACTCTCCAAGGTGTTCGGGACACACATCAACTTAAAGCTTATTTCATCATCTTTAATTTTCTTTTCAATTTCTGGGGGGTTAACTGATGACTTTTAGGAGAAATTTCCGCCCGAAGATGATCACCCCTGAAAATAGTCCTGAAGCCCGTCGCCATGTGAAAAACGATGCCTACACTCCATTGCAAAATAGAGCGCTTTAAGGGCCCTAATTTCATCGAAATTGAACGGAACTACAAGCTCACAGTTACGTGCACGGCTTCCACCCATATGCTCAAATACTGAAGATTTTGAGGGCATGCAAATCGTGATTTGGCCGGTGCAGGCAATTTCGGACCGATTTACTGGTCTGCAACCATACTTATACCGACTGGATGACGATTTTGCTTACCCCCGTACAAACCGGTTAATTGGGGGGTTTTTCACACCCACCCTGATAGGCTGATGCCCCGTCTCCCGGCCCTTAAATAATATGCATTTGCGTTCATAACATTACTTTCCTTTACAAAATTGGCAGACTTCAGGAGGGGTAAATAAAACGACTCGTTGCTCGACACAATGACTTTGTTCACTACTTAAGTTTGTGGTTTAAAGATAAATTTCTCTAGTTCAGTAACTTTTCTTGTCGAGTGTAATTCTTTACATTAAGTTCAATTAAAGGGAATATACAATATTTGCAAACATCGAAAAATAAAACTACCAAGTTGTTACGAAATACCTTACTAGGATGTTGGTAAATGACAGTCTCAAACATCTTGTAAAGTTATGGCACCTGGTGTGAAGTCATTTTCAAGAAAATGGTATTTTTGCACGACCAGCGTTGGAAAAACCTAACTATTTTTCAACTACTTGCTCCAAATTTACCATTTTTTCAGTCCAAATGTTGTTTGCTATTGGTTATATGTTCATGAACGGGTGCAGGCCAGCTAGACTGGTTCCCTTGCCTTACAATTTTCCATCATCTATAAATTGATCCATTTTATCTTTTGTGGAGTCATGGGAACCAGACTACTTGAAAATGTTTTTTTTTTTGGTTTTTCCAACCTTTTCGAACACAAAACTTCAAAAATGTCAGTGTAACAATATTTGATCTATTATACTAACCTCTCAAATAGTTCATTTCTGAAAATTACAGCAAAAGCTAATGATGTACATTCCGTTTAATGTAATTAATACAACTTGATTATTCCTTTTCGTTTATTCATAATTTGGTAGAGCTTCAGATAGGCTCTCCTCAGTTATAACTGACAAGCATTTAGCAGGATTTCTTGTGAGAATGCCACCAATAAATTCATTCACTGCGTCAAATACCTCTAATGTACATGATGTTGACTGAATTTGCACCAAGAAAGGAAACGAAAGGAAACTATACAAATTTAATTAGTAGAAATTATAATAAAACAAATTATTACAAAAATAAAAATATTTAAACAAACAGTATAGTAATTTTTAAGCATTCTGGGTAAAGTAAATGTCAATATTAACATTCTTACCGCCGTTTAATACCGGTAGCTCCAAAATAGCGACGCATAATTATTAGCTCCACCTTGGGAGTATTATGGAAACGAGTTATATCACTTTTCAAAAGATATTTTAGCGATTTGAGGACTGGAGGCATGATGCAATAATAGCCCTTCAATTACAAAATAACAAAATAGCAAACCTTTGCTCTGGTACTATTATATAGCGTATTACTGTCCAATATTACAAGCATTATACATAGGCACTATCAAGGAAATCTGTCTGCCAATGTTACTGGCTCATGATGCGGCGATCCTAGTGGCGCTCATAAGCGCCCAGAGAACATCTTACAAAGTTTGCAACATCTGAGACATTTCCATACAGAAGTCAGACTTCTATGTTCACCATGTTTCACACAGGATTGCTCCGACCGCAGCATTTGCTCCGTCTCACGGCCTTCAGAAAATCCGAGGGTTCCGGGATGTCGTCCCACTGGCGACTTACGATGCAGCGGAAGACGGTCTTGAAGTCACGGTGCTTGGTCGCATAGATCAAGGGGTTGATGCAACTGTTAAACACTAGGATTGCAGATGCATACTGACTGACAAGGACGAACTTAATGTCAGTAATTGCCGGTACCAGGCTTATGGCGTATGGACCCACGCACAGCACAAAGGCACAGACGACGTAGAACATGTTCTTGGTTATTTGGATCTGATGGCGACTCAGTTGGTCGTTACCGGTCGTCATTGCGGAATTCGACCTGGCTTGGGGTTGGGTGCTGTCAGTCGGGATGTCATCGAGTTGTGTCTCCGTAGAGTTGTGGGTTATGGGCTCATTGGATACCTCGGGTATATGGCTGGAGCTTGCCATGCTCCTCACCTGGCGGTTGATACGCCTCCAGATGAGAACGTAGCAGGCAATGATGACGGTCAGAGGGATCGGAAACATTGCAACTGCTAGCACTACGATGAAGTAACGCTTACCAAGCCCCGAATAACCTAAAGTAAGGACAAATACTATTGGTATCACCCAAACGAACATCAGGCACACGGCGATTTTCTTCGGCGTGTAGACCTTTTGATAGGTGGTAAGTGGTCGTGTGATCAGCAACCAGCGGTTAAGGGCGATGCATATCAATGTGAGGATGCTGCAGCCGAGAGTCGTGTATAAAATGAAACCGGTCACCAAGAGCAGAGTGAGCCCGACCTGTAGGTCACCGATCCCAAAATATAATGTACTTATGACATTGGCGTTTACCGGTATTAACACCAGACAGGTCAGTAGGTCCGCCACGCTGAGATTCACCACGAAGGTGTTGGTGGTCGTGCGGAGCTTTTTGGAGAGAAGCACGGCCAGGATCACCAGAGAGTTGCCTGGGGTCCCTGCTATGAAAGCGATCCCATACAGTACGCTGAGAAGGACTAAATGGACATCATGGAAAGGGAATAGGTCATAGACTGGGGCATCGTATGAGACATTCGACCGAGACATCTGGTGACAAAATAAAGGTATTAAAAACAATATGATGAACTGTAGACATCCTTCTAATCATGCAAAGACTTTTTTATGCCGTTTCAACCCTCCGGAATAGGCATCCCCTCCCCGAAGAGAAAGCCTATCAGATCAAGGTTGGAACCGTTACGATGATCAAGCTAGGATTGTATCGTTCAATAAATATTGCATTTTCAGTTATGTGATATTAATAGAATATATGCATGGTAAAGCACTATTTTTTTCACACAGTATCGGATGAGCTGAACTTGGACAGGTTTTTTTAAACAATGCATTAGAATAATAGGCGTTGGTCTCGGTAGAATGTACGATGTGTTATCAGTTTATTTACTCAAAGTATCCGTGGAATGAAATAGGAATCGACTTGAATCGAATCCAGCTGGAATAGACGAACACAAGAAATGCAATTGTTCCGGGGACGTTCGATATAAGACAGTCATCAGGAATAATCTTTGAGGCCCGCGACTGGCTGCAGAAGTTAGATCACGAGGTCGAGCTTTGATACTGTGACACTCGTGTTAAAAACTTTAGTCAGAATGGACGAGCAACTATACGGTCAAACTTGACCGGTATTTTAGAATCAGCTGGGGCTGAAACGATCGGCTTGCATTTCCTGAAAATTGCAGTTAAGTTCTTAAAATAAAAACAAAGAAACCGAAAAATAATTTGACACAGTTGTTTTTAAAGCTGGTACTTATAAGAAAGAGGACCTACCTTGAAGCCGTTGTATGCGGAGGATGCTAGCTATAGGCTTATGAAGGAAACGAAATCGAATTTAATGTACACAATTTCAGTACTTCGTTTCACACCACCAACTGTCTCACTGATTGGTTGCTCTTCAAATGAAATAAATAGCAACCGTGGGGCTTGAAATTTATCACGAAGTGTTAAACATATTTGCTAGTACATTAGCTTACAGCCACCGCCCCATCCGAGCTCACAGATGACTAATTAAGCCCCGCCCAGTGGTGTTTGACCAATCACAGCCCTGATTTAATGTCCGACAAGCGTGCACAACTGTTGGAAAAGGGAACTGGATTAGATATATTTATTTTGGATTTGCATATTTATTTAGAAAACACATGGCTGTTCTGGACAAAAGGTATTTCAATAAAGTTTTAACAAATATGTGGTCATAGTGTGTGTTTTTTTCCCTCAAACTTCCTCATTACGTGTATTTCACAAACAATACTGAGAAAACCTATGTTTTTGGAGTTTACTTTTTCGTGAAACAACCATGACTTCACTGGTTCTAAAATGGGCCTGTACTTCGTAAAGCACGGTTTGCACTTTAAATGTTGTCTTTGGGAAAGAGGAACTATGTGCTTCATATTTATTTTCTAAACACCTAGGCTTGTGCCGAACGAAGGTTTCAAAATAGAACGGAATCACCGTAAATCGTGTGGTCATGCATTAATTCATTTTTAAGCTTCCTCATTGTTTTCGCACACAGTTTTGTTCAACAACACGTGTTTTTCGAGAATATCAAGGTACAACCATGAAGTTCTTAAAGTTATCCACAAAGCCAAATTTGCACTTTGCAAGTGACGTACAGAGTAGATTTAATGAGGGAACCATATTTCCTATAAGATTTGAGGCTTTGCATGGTGGGGTATCGGTATCGTTTCGGTTTGCGGTAACACCATGTGGTAATAACTACTGCTTAGAAGATATTAGTTCTGAAAACAACTCGTCCTGCTTATTATCAACTTTGCTAAGTAGTCCTGCTGTAAGTTCTAAATGAGACCAAAGACAAGTTCGTTTAGAACTTACAGCAGGACTGTTCTTATCAGAACAAAAAAACTACTTAGCAAAGTTGATAATAAGCAGGACCAGTTCTTTTCAGAACTACTATCTTCTAAGCAGTAAATATTACCACATATTTCCTATGTTCAATTGTAAACACAGACGATGATGTTCTTGCAACATGTTCACAAAATAATCTTGTATTTTGTTGTACTCTCAAACCAGTCCTCATGTTTTCCGGGGCATTCGGGAACAACTAAACAACTAGACAGGTTCTAAATCATATGTACCGATCGAGTCATCATCGGCGACCAGCGCCCCCATGAAATGCGGCCATGATGACTCCGAATATCAACGTCTGCAGCACGGGGTCCCGCCGTTTCTGGGTATGGGGTGGGGCCCGCCTGGTAATGGGTTACTTTTTTTCTATAAAATCGGCACCAATCACGATTTGACTGCCCGCAAATTCTCTGCTACATTTGCCATGAAATGATGAACTTCAGAACATTTGCCATGAACTTGAGGGTCACAGTTAATTAAATAAATAGAGATGGAAGCCGTGAATAGGACTAGCATGTCACTTCTGCGTAATTTGGATGAATTGGGCCCTAAAAATTAATATTGCTCTATTTTGCAATGGAGTGTTGGCATCATTTGTCAAAATGGCGATGGGCTTCAGGACTACTTTTAGGGGTGTTTATCTTTGGATGGAAATGTCTCCCAAATATTGTCAGATTACCCCCCCCCCCCCAACAAAAAACCCACATAAAATGAAAAATGATGAAATAAGCTTTTTATTTGATGTATGTCTCAAAAACACCTTCTGGTCTGGTTCTGGTTGTTACTGTTGTTACTGTGCAAACACCTCTTAAGTGGTTATCTCGCACAGTTGGATATAATGAGTGTTTTTCCTGATTTTTGAAATTGTTTTTTTTTTTATTATCACTGGGGTCTGTGACACTTTATTTACTGGTCTGCAATCTTTAATAACCTTATCTGGTTAGACTAATTCCCAGTCCCTCCCTCATCCCTCTCCCATTCAGAATCGATGATGGAGAGGCTGGAAACTAGTCTATCCGCACAAGTCTGGTTCCCATACTGTCCGATATCGGTCTGAATTTGTATATCGAAGCGGTAACCAGTCTAACAATTGAACGGTAGTCAGCTTCGTGCACAAAAAAGGGACCGATTCCGGTCACATTTGTTGGACCGTATACTGGGTTTTCATTTTATCGATACAAGGATATTGTAGAACTATAGCGTACCGGCTTAGCTTAGATAAGACCAAGAACATGAAGAAGTAAGTAACAAACGCCAAAATACTGAGAATGACCTCCACAATCTCAAGAAAATCTTGTGGGCTACTTCTGTTTTTCTCTCGAACGTTTAGCGACGTATATAATATTTCCGTGTCCTACCAATTTCCAGTACTAGCCTACCACTGTACCGTCATGACAAATAGCCCTATATATGTGGCAAATACTGGACTACCTCCGCCATTCGTAAATAAAGGTCAGACTTGCAATTGTCAAGTATTTATTGGCATGGGCAGGCGCGGATCCAGAGGGGGTTTTTTGGGGATCAACCCCCCCCCCAGCTCTTTAAAAAAAAAAAAAATCATACAAATTCCTAAAAAATAAGTCGAACCCCCCCCCCCCCCCCCGCCGTGAGACACCCAAAAAAATTATACTGATGTTCTTATTCCTCCATGGTATAATGTCTGCCTATTCAAAATACAGTACACCATTCTGTAATCTAGTAGTTTTAATCGTTGAATTTGAACAGCACCCCCTATTGTAAAATGGTACAAGGCCCCCCCCCCCCCCCCCCCCCAGTTTTTTTATTTTTACAGAGGCCAAGTGTCCGGAAAAAAACCCTGTGTACAATTCAGATTTTGTTGCTGATGAAAAAAAAAAACCTGCAAAAATTCCTGGATCCGCTCCTGATGGGGGGTGCAAACGAAATGGAGAAAAAAAGGAAAGTAAAAGAATAGAAATTATCCACATTTACTCCATCATGTCCATAGGCTTACATGTTTACTGTGCAGTGTTTCTTCACTTTCTTTTTTTTTTTTTTTACTTTCAGGAAGAACAACCTGATGTTTTCGTCGATGGTTTTTTAACGCATGCATGTATTTGGACTAACAAATAACACACTTGGACTAACAGATACATGCATCACAACCCTCAACATGAATGCCACGTGCATCCAAACCCTTTTCTGAAAAGTCTAGATTCAATAAGAAAAAAAGAAAACTGACAAAAAGTCAGCAGGACTATTTCGCAAGTCACATGAGTATCAGTGGCGTTCTCTGGAACCAGATTTTTCGGCCTGTGGCTAAAGTTGGCTTGGCTGTCACGTGTGATGTGCTGGCGATCATGGGCTGCAACTGCACTAGGGAAAGGATCGAGTTCGAAGGACGACGATTCTACGTTTTGAGACGACTCGGAGAAGGGTAAGAAATCATCCACGGGCATTGATGTGGGGGGGGGGGGGGGGGGGGGGGGGGAAAGAGAAAGATTTCCATATACGAAGTTCACTCAACACCCTGTGTACAAACCCTATGAGATTGGAATGAAAAATTGTTTTCTAAGAAAATGCTTGTTTTTTCTCACTGCTCAAATTGACTTTGATGACATGAAATTGCTATCTGGGGGCTTGTTAGTCAATACAGAGGAAAACAAGTGAACTTCGTATATGGAAATCTTTACGGGGAGAGAAGGGGGGGGGGGAGTGGAGGGGGGGGGGGGGGGATGGTGTCCCCATTACCGTTTGTTGGTAAAATCACCCATGTGCAAAATTGTGTGTCTGTTGCCAATATGCCACAATGAAGTCTGTCAAACTACTTTAGTAGTGTCCAACATTGTATTTTGAACAGTGCCTCCAGTAATGAGATGATGTATAAACAACAGCCTCCCCCCCCCCTTTTTTTGACCCACACCCCCATTCAAACCCACAAGATGGTCTTGGGCGACTGGCAACATTTTTGGAAATCAATTTGATCACTCAGACACTATTACTTTAAAATTCTTCCATTAAACTTCTGGAGATTTTTTGAGCAGCTGGATCTTGCTAAATTAGGCGGGCTTCTCATTTTGAATGCCTGGGGTGTCAGGTTGATGCAGTGGTTACTTTTCTTGCCTTCTAGTAGGCAGGTCATTCGATGCACACAATTTTTCAGCCGAATCAGCGAGATCACCGTTGTTCTATTTTGACGATTCGTGCGGTTTTTAGTGACCTATGAACCCAATAATGCTATTTTTAGATCAAGAAAACACATACATGTAAAAACATGCTGTAACTTAGATTTTTCAAATATGGCGGAGAACAATGAAGAGTTAAAGTAGCTTTTTGGGCTTTTTCTCCCAAAAATAGCTGAAAAAAGGGCGAAAAACGACATCATCTTTTTGGCGTAGAAAGAGAACTGAAGGCTCAATTTTAAAATTCTTTCAGTTCCCTGTTTCTTTCAGCAAGCTGCATAATATGAGTGTAATTTCAACGGCATAGCTAATACTTGAACAAGTGTGACATGTCTACTTCTAGCCTTATGGCCCGGGTTCGATTCCTGCCCTGCTTCGATTCTTGCCCTGGTCCACATGTGGATGAGGTTTGCAGTCTCTACCTGATTCTGCAGGTTTTTCCCCCCGAATGTTCTGTTATCGTAACTTCTTCTCATTGCCTTCTCTCTTAGGTTTCTTCAGGCTTGTGAGCTACAGTACCTAGGGTACTTTGAAGCAATCCTTGGTTTCATTGCCAGAAATACATAACAATAATAGCAATAATGACAATTCAACATTGCATCAACTTTCAATCTTCAGCGGCTTCAGCGTCGTGGACCTCCTGGAGGACAACGACACCGGCAAGAAGTTTGCCCTGAAGCGAATCCAATGCCACTCCCGAGCGGAGGAGCAACTGGCTAAGGAGGAGGCGGAGTACCATCGCAAGGTGCACCACCCAAACCTCATACCACTGGAGGAGTGGAAGGTTACCAGTGGCCGGACGGGGGTCACCGAAGTGTTGCTCGTCCTTCCGTATTTCAGAGTGAGCAAAACATTTTCCCAGCTTTGATTTTGGTGTGCATTTGCTGGTGAATATCACGTCATAAAGTTGAACAACGAGATTGACCACAGCAGGATTCGAACCTGTGATCCTGGAACCGGTGAACGGTGCTCTACAAAAGGAGCTATATCCAGCCCTAATAGGCCCATATGTTTGTGGTTCTCAAATTTGTCAATGTGTTTATTCACAATAGGCACAAGTTAGAAGCTGTACAGTTTATGTGACATATATAATGCCAGCTAATGAACTGTTATTGTTCCTGACCTTTTCAGTGCCATTCTTCATTTTGTGACATGAATGTACATTATTTTAATTATTTATTTTGTTTTAGAGAGGCACATTACAAGAAGAGTTAGACAGACTAGCTTCCAAAGGCGAGAATATACCAGAGGCCAGACTACTCAGACTCTTCAGGCAATATGTGAGGGAGTCAGGGCACTACACCAGGCATCACCGGTGCCCCTCGCACATAGGTAAACCACACACGTTACAAGCAGGAAACCAGGGGTTCATTCACATACCTAGGCCCAGTTTCATGCAGCTGTGACGCAGCAAGTTAGAGCCAGTTACAAGCAGTACACATGACAGTACATTTTAGCTGGTATCCTGCTTGTGCTGAGTCCCTCCCACTTGAGTTCTTGTTAGTGGTAGCAGAGCGCCAACTTACTATTCGTGAGTCCGTATGCCAAGAGACACAATTGGTATATTGGATATAGACACAATACTTTAAGCCTTGTTTCACTTGGATCCCTGATCCTGATTGGTCAATGCCGCTTTTGCCGCGCTCCACTTATCGCGGTATTCTAAGGCCGCCCTCAGGTTGACCTTGTGACGACACAGAACAGCCGGCGGCTAACCTTTCAGGATCAAGCTGCGCCAGAGCTACGACCATTGTGAACATATCAGTTGCCAATTTCTTTTGTGACTGAGTGTATTACTGTGATGATATTAAGTTGATCAGAATCATTGGCGCTCAAACAAAATCAACAGTCGCAAGAGTAGCAAAATGTCAACTTCTGTGCCGCGAAGGTAATGTGTTCCCGGCAGGTGGGAATCCATCGCGCGTGCCATCCTGCTGCACACACGCGTAATAGGATGACCACTGAAAAGTTTATGTACAGCCTGCGTGTTCCATCTTTACTGTGTGTCAAGTTTTGTTTAAATTTCCCCCTTGTGCGTCTGCACCCCATAAATGATACCACTCGGCCTTCGGCCTCATAGCATGTGGGCCACAGATGCCCTACATTATCCTGCGTTCCCCTGGCTCTCTTGGGATAACTGGTATCGTCTACGCCTTTGCCCATACAGGGATATGAAGCCTGGTAACGTGGTGCTGTCTGACAACGGAACACCAGTCATCATGGACTTTGGTTCCATGGCACCAGCCAAGCTAGAGGTCAAAGGTCGATCAGAGGCCCTGTCTGTACAAGTAAGTGAGAAAATAAAATTAAAAAACCAATAATAAGGATTATAAATCTTTAAAGTTCTAAGAAGGCATCAAACCCTGTGTAAAGTTAACAGTAGTTGGACTCGACCTTTTCAATCCTGCAAAATACTGCAAAAATTCTAGGCAGATTTTGAGGAATGTGTGAAGTTTAGTGGTAATTCTTTTGAGAAAAAGTCAGTGACAATAACTTATGTTAAATGTTATATTTTCCTTTTTTCAGGATCTTGCTGCTGAGAAGTGCAGCATGTTGTTCCGAGCTCCAGAACTCTTCCATGTTGAAAGCCACACCATCATTGATGAAAGGTGGACGTTTGGGTGAGTTGAAATCCTGTCAATCACAAGCCAATAAAAAGTCAAGTCACAAGTCATGTTGTCATGTTACAAGACAAATCACAAGCCATGTCACAAGTCAATTCATTCATTATGTGACAAGTCATGTGACAAGTCAAGCCACTGGGGAGTAACCTTCAATGGACTAGCATTGCGTCCAGGGGGAATAGAAATATTCTCAGTCGTTTCATGCTACTGAAACCGGAGATAAAGGCTGGCCTGATGGGGCACATTGGCGAGTAACAGACTTTTCTTACCTGATTCAGTGGCATATGGGGTTTTCCTCCCACCTCTAAAACTGTAGTTTTCTTCTCATTGTCTTCTCTCTATGGGTTTCTTCTGGCGTGCGAGCTACAGTGCCTGGGCGCTTTTGAGGAATCTTTGGGTTTCATTTACCAGAAATAGATAATAATAATAATAATTTACTTGTGATGGACTTGACTACAACACCGGTCGGGCGCAAACGTAGAGGAACTCCTGGAGTGTTTTGTATTGTAAATGGGTGTTTATTCTTTTGTCTTGCAGTCATTAGGATGTACACTGTACGCCATGGCGTTCCTACAGTCACCCTTTGAACCAGTGTATCAACGTGGTGACAGCCTTCACCTTGCTGTCCTCGGACGCAATTTCAAATTCCCTGCCAACTCAAGGTAGGAGCCTAGAGAAAAAATTGAAGCGTAAATAACGATTGTCCTGGTTGCAGAGGCGGGGTTCTCAGCCACTCTGGATATTTGGGAAAACTGTGAAAATGAGTTTCCACATTTTGAAGCAAAAGGGAAAGGTTTTTGCCAGTTGGGTGTATGTGCGTCTTGTGCTACGTGTCCAAGTTGTGTCCGTTGACTGACTGGCTATGGTGGCTTTTTAGTGCTTATGTCAGTGTTGATATCACACACCTCTCCAGACAATAACAACTGGCTGTGCTGCACCACCTCTTGACTTCCCAGCACCTCGTTAAAGTGAAAATATTTCTCATGGAGTTTGGGAAATTTGTCGAGAAATATCAGGGTAAAATCAGGGAATGTTGTTTTCGTAAAGTGCCGGGAATCATTCAGAGGGCCAGCCTCCTGTCCTCTAATACCTACCTAACTGACTGACTGACTTAGACTTGCTTAAGTCTTACATTGACCCAAAAGTGTGACTCAGATGACTAGTTGGGTGAACGGTGGATATTCCATTCGCATAAATTTGGTGAACCACAGACTTGATCATATTCTTAAAAGCTCCATTTGTATACACTATGTGAACTGAAGCAGGTGTACGACATGACGATTGGGGCTGCAATTTGACTCAACCCCCCCCCCCCCCCCCCCCCCCCCCCCCCCCCCCCGAAGATCTGAAGTAGATATCCTAGAAGTTTTGAAGAAAATTGTTGACCGAGCGCATGAGGCGTAAGCTCACTTCAGTTCTGTTATGTTTCTGCAGGTACTCCACAGCTCTGCATGAACTCATTTCATCCGTTCTTGTTGTGGAGGTCATAGAAAGACCTTCAGTTACGTGGATTATAGAGCAGCTGGACATTATGCTACAACAGATGGAGCACAGGGTGTAAAAAGTCATGGTAGAAACGTAGCCCGTTGCAATAAACCGGTTGTTACCAAGCCTGCTTAAAAAAATATTCGCAAACAAACATTCCATGTTTACGGGCTGTGTTGCAACGCACCGTAATATCGTGGAGGCTGCGAAATTTTCAGCAGAAAGATTCAAATCAAATGCTAACTGTCATAAAATGTCAATGACCTGACTTTTAAAAATGAGACTGAAATCACCAGAGCTAGTTTTTGAGTTTGGACATATACAATTTTTGGACATATAAAAGCGACAGGAACTTTCAACGGTTTCGCCCACAAATGCAAAATTCAGGAAAATTTCAAACTTATGTGTTGCATCAAAATCAAGAGCTGAGTATGATCTTTATGGTGCATTATGAGAAAATAGGAAATGAAGATTTCTTGTTTTAAAGACTCAATTTGTAGCATCTGGTCACAAACAACCGATTGTTATTTTTACTTTTACTTGCTATTATTTTCCATATCTGTACATGTACTTGTAAATACTTGACTTGTGAAGCTACTGTTTGCAAGGATGTGATTGTGGGGGCGGGGCTTGTTGGGTTTGTAGGGGGGCAGGAAGTGATGGTGGTGGGTGATGTGTTTAAAAACTTGTGGATGCATTTATGACCCCATCTACGTATTCTCAATGAGACAATGCAGCGTTCTGCGCAATCTTATAATTTTCAATACAGTGGCACATTCAATTCACTTCAATGCTTTATTCTCATAATGTAAAATATAAAACTTGATTCTGCATAAAAGAAATCACATAAATATATCTAAGATTTACTTATCACCGTTACAACTATAAAATACAGCAGTGAAAAGGAAGCGGGTGAATGAAGTCGCCACGGCAAGGCCTTGTAAATAAAAAGAATAACTGCAAAGCCAATTTCAATAATGGTACTGCCATTTTATCTGAATGTTCACAGACCCTCAGCATCTGAGTGTCTGGTTTGTACATGTAACTGTGCATAAACCACTGATTAAGTGCCCATTGGCTAAACACTCCACCTTGCACTACCTCTGGTTCCTATGCTGCTTCAGGCGGGGCCTAGTGGGTTCAGTGGGCGGGGCCAAGTGCACAATGTAATTACATGCGCAATTGGCATAGCCTAGTGGGTGCAGTGGGCGAGGCCAAGTGCACAATGTAATAGCATGTGCAGCGGGCAGGACCTAGGTGGTGCAGTAGGCGGGGCCGAGTGTACTATGTAATAGCATGTGCAGTGGGCGGGGCCTAGCTGGTGCAGTAGGCTGGGCCGAGTGTACTATGTAATAGCATGTGCAGTGGGCGGAGCCTAGCAGGTGCAGTGGGCGGGGCAAAGTGCACAATGTAATTACATGTGCAATGGGCGGGGCCTAGTAGGTACAGTGGGTGGGGCCAAGTGCACAATGTGATTATATGCGCAGTGGGCGGGGCCTACAGGAATCAGTCTTCTGGTTCTTGTTCATGGTTCCTTTCAGTAAACACAATAGAACAAGAGACCCACAAGAAAGTCTTTAAAAATTTTCCCCATTTTAGAAAAATGCTCTGGAGTTTGAGATTTCAATTGGAACAAAAGTGAAAAAAATAAGGAAAACAAAGGTCTTCCCCACAAGAACCAGGAGGTACGACCTTGTGTGTTAACACCGCAATGACAATGTAATAACGAAGACAGAGCAAACACCGTTTTATTTTTATACATTATTTATTCTACTTTTGTTCTATACTTTCAAGCAATGTAGTTGGAATATTCGTTAGATGTATGATTAAATTCAAGTTTATTATATTGTATGTTTTTTCTTTTAATTGATGAATAATGCATTGTACATTTTATTTCTGCTTTGAATTCAAGGCTTTAGTGAAACATTGTCAAGAATGTATTGGCAAATAAAAATGAGATGAAAGGGCAAAAAAACGCTTTTCTTGGGTTGTTTGTGAAAAAAAATTGTGTATTAATAACATTATTTCCTACCCCTAAAATGGATGATTTTTGCCTAAATCTGCCAAAATTTGGGTGTTTGAGTATTGATTCATGCTCCACTCGTCTCCAGAGGTATTTCTGCGTTGTTTGGAGAAAAGTCAATTTTTGGCCAAATTTGGTGAAAAATGTAAGGCTAACCCCTTGTATTTTTTTCAATTTTGGCCAAAAAATGAAATTCCTTGAAACTTGCTGGAAAGATGCCTAAGGTAACCCTGAACACATCCCAATCTGATTTGGAAACAGATGTGCCTTTGAAAAGAAAATTTGGCCGAAATTTGGGGCAAAAACAGTCAAAATTTGGCTTTTTATTTACATGTATTTCCTAACGCAAAAACGGGTGATTTTTGCCTAAATCTGCCAAAATGTGGGTGTTTGAATATTGATTCATGCTCGTCTCCAAAGGTATTTCTGCGTTGTTTGGAGAAAAGTCAATTTTTGGCCAAATTTGGTTAAAAATGTAAAGCTAACCCCCTTGTATTTTTTTTCAATTTTGGCCAAAAAAATGAAATTCCTTGAAACTTGCTGGAAAGATGCCTAAGGTAACCCTGAACACATCCCAATCCGATTTGGGAACAGATGTGCCTTTGAAAAGAAAATTTGGCCGATTTGGGGTAAAAACAGTCAAAATTTGGCTTTTTATTTACATGTATTTCTTAACACAAAAAAGGATGATATTTGCCTAAATCTGCCAAAGTGTGGGTGTTTGAATATTGATTCATGGTCCCCTCGTCTCCAGAGGTATTTCTGCGTTGTTTGGAGAAAAGTCAATTTTTGGCCAAATTTGGTGAAAAATGTAAGGCTAACCCCTTGTATTTTTTTCAATTTTGGCCAAAAAATGAAATTCCTTGAAATTTGCTGGAAAGATGCCTAAGGTAACCCTGAACACATTCCAATGCGATTTGGGAACAGATGTGCCTTTGAAAAGAAAATTTGGCCGAAATTTGGGGTAAAACAGTCAAAATTTGGCTTTTTATTTACATGTATTTCCTACCATAAAAATGGATGATTTTTGCCCAAATCTGTTAAAATGTGGGTGTTTGAATATTGATTCATGCTCCCCTCGTCTCCAGAAGTATTTCTGCGATGTTTGGAGAAAAGTCAATTTTTGGCCAAATTTGGTGAAAAATGTAAGGCTAACCCCTTGTATTTTTTTCAATTTTGGCCAAAAAATGAAATTCCTTGAAATTTGCTGGAAAGATGCCTAAGGTAACCCTGAACACATTCCAATGCGATTTGGGAACAGATGTGCCTTTGAAAAGAAAATTTGGCCGAAATTTGGGGTAAAACAGTCAAAATTTGGCTTTTTATTTACATGTATTTCCTACCATAAAAATGGATGATTTTTGCCCAAATCTGTTAAAATGTGGGTGTTTGAATATTGATTCATGCTCCCCTCGTCTCCAGAGGTATTTCTGCGATGTTTGGAGAAAAGTCAATTTTTGGCCAAATTTGGTTAAAAATGTAAGGCTAACCCCTTGTATTTTTTTCAATTTTGGCCCAAAAATGAAATTCCTTGAAATTTGCTGGAAAGATGCCTAAGGTAACCCTAAAAACATTCCAATTCGATTTGGGAACAGATGTGCCTTTGAAAAGAAAAATTGGCCGAAATTTGGGGTAAAACAGTCAAAATTTGGCTTTTTATTTACATGTATTTCCTACCATAAAAATGGATGATTTTTGCCTAAATCTGCCAAAATGTGGGTGTTTGAATATTGATTCATGCTCCCCTCGTCTCCAGAGGTATTTCTGCGTTGTTTGGAGAAAAGTCAATTTTTGGCCAAATTTGGTTAAAAATGTAAGGCTAACCCCTTGTATTTTTTTCAATTTTGGCCAAAAAATGAAATTCCTTGAAACTTGCAGGAAAGATGCCTAAGGTAACCCTGAACACATTCCAATTCGATTTGGGAAGAGATGTGCCTTTGAAAAGAAAATTTGGCCGAAATTTGGGGTAAAAACAGTCAAAATTTGGCTTTTTATTTACATGTATTTCCTAACATAAAAATGGATGATATTTGCCTAAATCTGCCAAAATGTGGGTGTTTGAATATTGATTCATGCTCCCCTCGTCTCCAGAGGTATTTCTGCGTTGTTTGGAGAAAAGTCAATTTTTGGCCAAATTTGGTGAAAAATGTAAGGCTAACCCCTTGTATTTTTTTCAATTTTGGCCAAAAAATGAAATTCCTTGAAACTTGCAGGAAAGATGCCTAAGGTAACCCTGAACACATTCCAATTCGATTTGGGAACAGATGTGCCTTTGAAAGGAAAATTTGGCCGAAATTTGGGGTAAAACAGTCAAAATTTGGCTTTTTATTTACATGTATTTCCTTACACAAAAATGGATGATTTTTGCCTAAATCTGCCAAAATGTGGGTGTTTGAATATTGATTCATGCTCCCCTCGTCTCCAGAGGTATTTCTGCGTTGTTTGGAGAAAAGTCAATTTTTGGCCAAATTTGGTTAAAAATGTAAAGCTAACCCCTTGTATTTTTTTCAATTTTGGCCAAAAAATGAAATTCCTTGAAACTTGCAGGAAAGATGCCTAAGGTTACCCTGAACACATTCCAATTAGATTTGGGAACAGTTGTGCCTTTGAAAAGAAAATTTGGCCGAAATTTGGGGTAAAACAGTCAAAATTTGGCTTTTTATTTACATGTATTTCCTACCATAAAAATGGATGATTTTTGCCCAAATCTGTTAAAATGTGGGTGTTTGAATATTGATTCATGCTCCCCTCGTCTCCAGAGGTATTTCTGCGATGTTTGGAGAAAAGTCAATTTTTGGCCAAATTTGGTTAAGTGTGCGTTTATGAGAAGACCATGCAAAATCCTGAAAAATCGACAAGGTGGGGGGTCAGCGAATTAAGTTCAAATCTTGGCCATTTGATCCCCACCTGAGACGATACCACTCGGTGGAGTAGCTCGATAAATAATCACACGGTGGCCGAGTACGGGGCACCAACAATTTTGAGCAAAAAGGGTGACTTCCGGGGAGTAAATTTGTGTTGTTTCTGGTGTAAAGTTATAGCCTCGTTTATACCCTTAAACTAAATCGTTTACTGTCGACCTACATATCAAAGGAAAGGGTTTAATCTCCTCTAAACGATGAAATATAAATCTGTGATATGCAAGCATTCCCTGTGGAGATATAGGCGTAAGAAAAACACGTATCAGCTCTATTACGAAAAGAAGTCATTTACGCGGTAAACCATAACTTAATTAATGCAGGGCTGAGAGTCAACAAACTTGGAGGAAATATAGTTCAGATATCCGACTACAATAATAAAAAATAAAAAAACTGTCAGCTCTTCTTGTTTTTGTTTGCTCACGGTCAACAAAGTTGAAAAATTCCTAATTTTCAAGACCAAACCTACATAGACCCCTAGACAGTTCCGAGTGCAATTGGTTGCCCTTAATTGACATTTTGCAGGAGTTGTTGTAAGAGCATAACAAAATGTACATTTTGCAGACTTCACCTATTGGGTGGGTGGGTGAGTGGGCTACCTTTGGTGGTGCGCACTGATCCGGTAGGAGGGGAACGTCCTGTTGCCGCCTACCCAGTTAGCGCGCGGTATCGAAAGAGGGCGCCCTCGCATTACATTACCGTCAAAATGGACTTGCCGTCTGTGCGGCTGCAATGTGATTTTAGTAATTTTGAGAATAGCAAAGCCATCGAATGTGGTGTAAATCCCTCTTATCTGCGCGAACTAAATACAGTGCAACTTAATCGATGCACAAAGGACATACGGAGCCATTTGCAGAAAAGTTGCTGCATATGATGTGAATGTCGAGTGGAAACTGATCCTCCTGCGATGTGGTTTGTTCGACGTCGATGCATACACTGAGTGATAAGACAATATGTCCAGCGCAATCCGCATAGATACAAGTTAGGGTTGAGTTGGACATCATCAAGGAAATGTTGTCATCTACTCCATAAAGTGAAAGGCAAACCATTCCGTGGTGGGAATAAAGCAACTAGCCGTGAGATGTTTGATCGATGGGGTATCCTGATCACAGTTGGAACAGGTAAGAAGACAGAAATCAAACAAAAAACACATTTCTGAAATGAATCAATCATGGTCATGGTCCATTTCTGATCAACTGATTTTGTTTCTGGGAATGTCATATCAATTAAATCCCTTATCATGCAGTTGACTTGGGACCAGTGAAATGTATTATTGTGTGAAAAATTAATACTGGTTGTCACAGCTCTGGACCACACACATGGTTTTCGGCAGTGGACACACATGGTGGATATTTTGATTTTTTTTATATAAAGAAAGTTGGAGCTGCACTGAACATGCGCAGTTTGGGGAATAAAATAAATATTTGTTTTGCACTTACATTGTTGTTTTGACTTTAATTCACGAGATGTGACTCATCAGACCATTTACAAGAACAATTTCAGATTTGTTTCCCCTTTTATACAAATCCTCCAGAAAATGAAAAAGTAATAATTGTAAATAAATACAGTCAATCTAAAATAATAAAAGAAGATTTTTTATTTTTTATTTTTTATTTTTTTTTGGGGGGGGGGAATTTATGACATTGGTTTTGTTCAAGGGATCTATTGCTCAATATTGTTGGCTACATACGCCCCGCTTTATATCTTTTACGTTTAAAAAATATTAAGCCTGCTGCGGCCTTAACACTTTGTTAATTCTCACTGTTCATATGACTTTCAGGTATCTGTAGAGGTTGTCTATCTAAGCACAAACAAGCAGTTACGCACCAGACAGCGGAACAATTACCACCTAGCGATGTGCTCTCTAAGGAACAAGAAAAGCAGCAGTGTACAATCAGTGATTTCACATCGCCGGCTGGTGTACCATCTCTCCAACCCACCGACACAGAATGCACTTCAGTTCATGAGGTAATGAGAGTGAACTTAGAATGGACATAGTCATATTGCATCTCATTTATCACAGATGAATTGTAAGTACTCTTCTTTGAGTACATAAATTTGTATTTCAAACCCTGCTATATGTAGCACGCATCTCACTGTTTTTATTTTCCTCATGATTATTTCTAGCATACATCTGAGTCCTCATCAACTGATGGAGATATTACACAGGATGTAGGTGCACTTGACTCTTCTTGGGCTCCAGCCCCCGACCAAAAATGTGGAGCTGCAACCCCTGAACACTTTCCTTACTCAGGGTGGAATGTCTGCTGTTGATGGGCAGCTTCGTCTGTCATTAGAAGAAGCATCTGATAACACCATCCGTTATTATAGAAGGAAGGCAAAGGAAGCCTTTGGTTAATTCTTCATTGTTTAGCACCGGGTCAAGAAGATGGGCTCATGAAGAATTGAAGATTACAATCGGTGAAACAACTGCTGAATCATCACAAAGTAGTCAAGATTTTGATAGTAGTACCCGGTGTTTTTTTTTATTGCATCCTTTTTTACCAACATTTTTGCATTAGTGGTTCCATGTTCTCTTCCTTTACGTATTTTGTGTTTAAACAAAGGGTTATCATGGCTTGTTATTGGAAGACGGTGACTGTTCTTGTTTTTTAATGTTAATTTAAGAAGGAAAACGATTTTCTTGATTTATATTCAATTGTTTTTTTCGAGTTTGATCGTTAGGTTGTTCCATGTGTCATTCTATTTTGATACTGTGTTGGTTCAGTTTTCTTCTTTCAACTTCCATTTAAGTTTAAAGTTCAATTTAGTTTTGTACAGTTGACTCTCGTTATAGCAAGGTCGGTGAGACCGCCCAAACTACCTCTTTAAACAGAAATGTTGCTTTAAAAGGACAGCGAAACAAAGAGACACAAAGAGAACTAGAGATTTGAGACCTCAGAATTTGCTCTTTATAAGCAGACGTCGACTGTAGTACTACCATTTTACTTATTTGGTTGTGTGGATAACAGGTTTAAGGTTTGGGAAAAAGTAAATTTGGATCCTTTTTGATTATTGGTTTTTTTTTAATGGTTTTCTTCAAATTGTGGTTGGTAAAATAAATCATTCTTTTGTTTTGTCATTCTAAAAATATGTTTGTCATTGTTTCTATATATTCAAATTCCTTTCTACTTGTTCCTACCCCATCTAGGTCTATCTCATTTTTGACAGCGAGTACCCCAACATTTAGCGTTTTTCTCATTCAATTTATTATTTTCCAAGTTTATTAATTTTCCGGTTACATTAACAAGCCAAAAAATAACAGAATTGTCATCCAAGCCTCATCATTCCCACATTTGGTGCACGATATGTGGCAGGGTGTCCCCCCCCCCCCACCCCACCCCCATTGTGTCTGTTAACAAAAAGACAAGTGTGTGTTGAGTATTGGAACATTTGTGGGGACTTCCCTCTGCCACAAATCGGGCAGGGTATACATTCCATCCTGGACTCGGAAAGGTGGCGGCCATATTGATTTAAGATGAAACCCCCCCCCCCCCCCACCCTAAAAATGGGATTAATTAAGGGATTATAGCACCCCTAATGGCGTCTCCAGTATTAAAACAGGTTTTAATTTTATTGATCATGAAAAAATATACACGTTTGCCAATTTTCATAACGTTCAAGCAAAACAGTCAAAATTATGTGAAAAATACATTTTTTTGACCAAAAGGTGCCCAAAAAAACGCCCTCTATGAAAGATTTTTAAAAACATTTTTGACGTCATTATTTACAAATGGGAAAAATAAAAACTTGGTGGCAAATTTCATGAAAATTGGTTGTCGACTTTTGAAAATACAGAAAAGAGGGGGGGGGCACTGTATGCCCCTCCCCCGTCCCTTTACTACCGAAAAATAGGGGTAAAACAGGCTCCTGCCATTTCATACTAAAAACTGCTGACAATTTTTTTATTCTTGATACTTAAAGACCAGATGAATACTCTCTCTTCACCTGAGTGTCATTGTTCAAAGACCTGCACTAATGACGCTACGGCGACTTAAAAGATCGCTATTTCTATGACTCAACTTTGGGGGAACCCTTAGTGCCGTTGCCTCCTAAGAGCAATTTTTTTTCTAAATTTTGAGTTCCTGGTTTAGGTCAGGATACAACCTCAAGACCATGAAAATTTCATTTCTCTGCTGCTTTCCCCTGTTGAGCAGCAAGCGTTTAAACTTTTGTACCCCAAAATCATAAAAATCACCATTTTTCACTAATAAAAACACATTTTTGGCTCTTTTTTTCTGCTACGGAGGTCAGATTGGCCAATATTTTGTACAACCTCAAGGCTACCTATGACCCACCTACCCCCAAATTTTAACCAAATCCGCTGACCGACCCCCACCTTGTCACGGTCTGCATGGTCCTCTCGTGGACTACTCTTAAAAATGTTAGGCTAACTTGTATTTTTTTCAATTTTGGCCCAAAAATGAAATTCCTTGAAATTTGCTGGAAAGATGCCTAAGGTAACCCTGAACACATTCCAATTCGATTTGGGAACAGATGTGCCTTTGAAAAGAAAATTTGGCCGAAATTTGGGGTAAAACAGTCAAAATTTGGCTTTTTATTTACATGTATTTCCTACCATAAAAATGGATGATTTTTGCCTAAATCTGCCAAAATGTGGGTGTTTGAATATTGATTCATGCTCCCCTCGTCTCCAGAGGTATTTCTGCGTTGTTTGGAGAAAAGTCAATTTTTGGCCAAATTTGGTGAAAAATGTAAGGCTAACCCCTTGTATTTTTTCAATTTTGGCCAAAAAATGAAATTCCTTGAAACTTGCAGGAAAGATGCCTAAGGTAACCCTGAACACATTCCAATTCGATTTGGGAAGAGATGTGCCTTTGAAAAGAAAATTTGGCCGAAATTTGGGGTAAAACAGTCAAAATTTGGCTTTTTATTTACATGTATTTCCTACCATAAAAATGGATGATTTTTGCCCAAATCTGTTAAAATGTGGGTGTTTGAATATTGATTCATGCTCCCCTCGTCTCCAGAGGTATTTCTGCGATGTTTGGAGAAAAGTCAATTTTTGGCCAAATTTGGTTAAAAATGTTAGGCTAACTTGTATTTTTTTCAATTTTGGCCCAAAAATGAAATTCCTTGAAATTTGCTGGAAAGATGCCTAAGGTAACCCTGAACACATTCCAATTCGATTTGGGAACAGATGTGCCTTTGAAAAGAAAATTTGGCCGAAATTTGGGGTAAAACAGTCAAAATTTGGCTTTTTATTTACATGTATTTCCTACCATAAAAATGGATGATTTTTGCCTAAATCTGCCAAAATGTGGGTGTTTGAATATTGATTCATGCTCCCCTCGTCTCCAGAGGTATTTCTGCGTTGTTTGGAGAAAAGTCAATTTTTGGCCAAATTTGGTTAAAAATGTAAGGCTAACCCCTTGTATTTTTTTCAATTTTGGCCAAAAAATGAAATTCCTTGAAACTTGCAGGAAAGATGCCTAAGGTAACCCTGAACACATTCCAATTCGATTTGGGAACAGATGTGCCTTTGAAAAGAAAATTTGGCCGAAATTTGGGGTAAAAACAGTCAAAATTTGGCTTTTTATTTACATGTATTTCCTAACATAAAAATGGATGATATTTGCCTAAATCTGCCAAAATGTGGGTGTTTGAATATTGATTCATGCTCCCCTCGTCTCCAGAGGTATTTCTGCGTTGTTTGGAGAAAAGTCAATTTTTGGCCAAATTTGGTGAAAAATGTAAGGCTAACCCCTTGTATTTTTTTCAATTTTGGCCAAAAAATGAAATTCCTTGAAACTTGCAGGAAAGATGCCTAAGGTAACCCTGAACACATTCCAATTCGATTTGGGAACAGATGTGCCTTTGAAAAGAAAATTTGGCCGAAATTTGGGGTAAAACAGTCAAAATTTGGCTTTTTATTTACATGTATTTCCTACCATAAAATGGATGATTTTTGCCCAAATCTGCCAAAATGTGGGTGTTTGAATATTGATTCATGCTCCCCTCGTCTCCAGAGGTATTTCTGCGTTGTTTGGAGAAAAGTCAATTTTTGGCCAAATTTGGTTAAAAATGTAAGGCTAACTTGTATTTTTTTCAATTTTGGCCCAAAAATGAAATTCCTTGAAACTTGCTGGAAAGATGCCTAAGGTAACCCTGAACACATTCCAATTCGATTTGGGAACAGATGTGCCTTTGAAAAGAAAATTTGGCCGAAATTTGGGGTAAAACAGTCAAAATTTGGCTTTTTATTTACATGTATTTCCTACCATAAAAATGGATGATTTTTGCCTAAATCTGCCAAAATGTGGGTGTTTGAATATTGATTCATGCTCCCCTCGTCTCCAGAGGTATTTCTGCGTTGTTTGGAGAAAAGTCAATTTTTGGCCAAATTTGGTTAAAAATGTAAGGCTAACCCCTTGTATTTTTTTCAATTTTGGCCAAAAAATGAAATTCCTTGAAACTTGCAGGAAAGATGCCTAAGGTAACCCTGAACACATTCCAATTCGATTTGGGAACAGATGTGCCTTTGAAAAGAAAATTTGGCCGAAATTTGGGGTAAAAACAGTCAAAATTTGGCTTTTTATTTACATGTATTTCCTAACATAAAAATGGATGATATTTGCCTAAATCTGCCAAAATGTGGGTGTTTGAATATTGATTCATGCTCCCCTCGTCTCCAGAGGTATTTCTGCGTTGTTTGGAGAAAAGTCAATTTTTGGCCAAATTTGGTGAAAAATGTAAGGCTAACCCCTTGTATTTTTTTCAATTTTGGCCAAAAAATGAAATTCCTTGAAACTTGCAGGAAAGATGCCTAAGGTAACCCTGAACACATTCCAATTCGATTTGGGAACAGATGTGCCTTTGAAAAGAAAATTTGGCCGAAATTTGGGGTAAAACAGTCAAAATTTGGCTTTTTATTTACATGTATTTCCTACACAAAAATGGATGATTTTTGCCTAAATCTGCCAAAATGTGGGTGTTTGAATATTGATTCATGCTCCCCTCGTCTCCAGAGGTATTTCTGCGTTGTTTGGAGAAAAGTCAATTTTTGGCCAAATTTGGTGAAAAATGTAAAGCTAACCCCTTGTATTTTTTTCAATTTTGGCCAAAAAATGAAATTCCTTGAAACTTGCAGGAAAGATGCCTAAGGTTAACCTGAACACATTCCAATTAGATTTGGGATCAGTTGTGCCTTTGAAAAGAAAATTTGGCCGAAATTTGGGGTAAAACAGTCAAAATTTGGCTTTTTATTTACATGTATTTCCTAACATAAAAATGGATGATTTTTGCCTAAATCTGCCAAAATGTGGGTGTTTGAATATTGATTCATGCTCCCCTCGTCTCCAGAGGTATTTCTGCGTTGTTTGGAGAAAAGTCAATTTTTGGCCAAATTTGGTTAAAAATGTAAGGCTAACCCCTTGTATTTTTTTCAATTTTGGCCAAAAAATGAAATTCCTTGAAACTTGCAGGAAAGATGCCTAAGGTAACCCTGAACACATTCCAATTCGATTTGGGAACAGATGTGCCTTTGAAAAGAACATTTGGCCGAAATTTGGGGTAAAACAGTCAAAATTTGGCTTTTTATTTACATGTATTTCCTAACACAAAAATGGATGATTTTTGCCTAAATCTGCCAAAATGTGGGTGTTTGAATATTGATTCATGCTCCCCTCGTCTCCAGAGGTATTTCTGCGTTGTTTGGAGAAAAGTCAATTTTTGGCCAAATTTGGTAAAAAATGTAAGGCTAACCCCTTGTATTTTTTTCAATTTTGGCCAAAAAATGAAATTACTTGAAATTTGCTGGAAAGATGCCTAAGGTAACCCTGAACACATTCCAATTAGATTTGGGAACAGATGTGCCTTTGAAAAGAAAATTTGGCCGAAATTTGGGGTAAAACAGTCAAAATTTGGCTTTTTATTTACATGTATTTCCTACCAAAAATGGATGATTTTTGCCTAAATCTGCCAAAATGTGGGTGTTTGAATATTGATTCATGCTCCCCTCGTCTCCAGAGGTATTTCTGCGTTGTTTGGAGA